ATCCTTTTCTATTTTCGCTATGCCAAGAGCTGCATTCGAAGCAATTCTAGGATTTGTTGGAATCTGCAATTTGCTTACCCTTCGGGCATCAAATGATAGAACTGTTGGTGAAGTTGGTTGATAATTCTGGGACACCTGATAAACAGTATATTGGGAATTCTGTCCCTGAGGAGCAGTCTTTAGTTCCTGAAAATTTTCATAAGAAGTTTTTGAGTCCAAAGAATTTTGATATAGTGGTTGAGTAGGAGCAGCAAGATGAGTTTGAAAACTTGGAGCTGTCTGGTTCCAGTAATTATCATGAGCACCACTGGCTGCTCCTGCAGGCTGACAAATCAAAACAAGAGAGCTGCTAGTTAGACCAATAATAATAGCCAGACGAGATAATCTAACAATAAACAGAGAAAGAGAGTATGGAACCACACAATACTTAATAAGGATCAAGAGGACATAGACGTTATAAAACTAGAACAAACGTTCCTTTATTCTGGCACATATACTGATACAGTACCAAAATGATTTCAGCTACCAATAATACACCCAAGCAGTCTGACAATATCGATTACAATGTACAAAGAAGAAACTGTGAATCATTTATTTAATGCAAAATGAAAGACAATGCAGGAGGTTTTATATATAAAAAAGGCAATGGAGGAAGGGGAGGGGGAAGCACGGAAAAATTAAATTCCCCGTGTAAATATCCGCCCCATTTGAATCTTTATTTGCCAATTCTTCCTCTTCCCATAAGCATTCAGTACTACAAAAGTTCTTTAAAATAACCTAACACTAAAAGAGCAGATCTAGAAAACAGGAAATGGTGACCTCAACAGAAAATACAACTATGCCACAGGGAGACAAGAATGCAACTTATGGTAACATAAATATGCATCACGAACATGTACTTCTATCACTGTACTAATGTCAAGGAACAACTTTCATTTAGGGTATCCAGGAACAATATTAAGGGATTATTCTGTTAAACGGATCAAGAAGAACCTTCTTACGATAACTGCTACCAATGTAGTCAAAATCACGTTTTAACACTTAAAAAACTTACGAATTTACGTTTCTAGGTCACTAAAACGTTTCTACACAAAATCCTAGTTTTTATAGCTTATGTAGTTAAAAAGTCCGCATTAAAACTTAAAAACTTACGATTTTACACTTTTAGATCACCAAAACGTTTCTACATAGAAACTCGCTTTTGACTACATTGACTGCTAACTCATCAAATTAGCATAGCATTTGCTTTTTGATAGCTGATGTTATCCACACAGAATTATGGTCAATGCTATCATTGCCACATTAACTAGCCAATATCCTTTTATATCTGCTCCTTACAAAACAAGGTAACAGATCCGGGAAAAGTTCTTGCCCAAGACCCAACCCACATGAACTCGCCTTAGTCGCTCTTTCTTTCTTTCTTTCTTTCTTTTTAACAGAGCTCCCCTCAGTATTACTACTAGTACCATCACATACATTACCACATGCAGAAGATCATTGAGACACGGACAAAATATTCAGATAATGTCTGCCTGTTAAAACTGATTTTTTTCTGTAATTTTTCAGCCCAATATTTCAGACCAGGAAACAAAGGTAATGTTTTCTAGCATACACCGAAACTGGTGGAAGAACAACACCAAACCTGCATGGAAGGCAGTACAGATGAGCTGGTTTCTGGCCTCCAAGTGGGGTTAAGGGATGGAGGGGGTGGGGGTGGAGGCAGAGGCTGAGGCTGGTTGGTAGGTGTAGGGTACCCACCAGAGACACTAGGAAGTGAACTTCCATGGTTGCTGTTACCAGCAGCAGACAAGTGTTCTGTTCCCGGTGCACATGTTACTTCTGTTTGACTGTAATACTCTGGCCATTGCTTATATTGTTGTTGAAAAGTTGTAGGCGCTGAACCAGAACCATAAGCACTTGAAGTATCTGAAGTGTAATTCGGATACTGGTAGGATGTATAATTTGCATAACTTCCAGTGTTCGAAGCGGTTGGCTGATTATTGTATCCACTGCTCGGGTAGCCTCCAGCTGTCTGATAATTATCAGGATTGTAGTAAGTGGTTGAATAAGATGCAGTCCCAGCATAAGACCCAGTATTCTGAAATGAGGAATTAGGCTGATAAGCAGCACCTGTGTTTTGATATGCTTCTACAGACTGAGAGTACGAGGGGTTGGGTTGCTGCTGAGAGTATTGATTGTTAGTTTGTTGCTGGTAGCCATTGTAGTATCCTGAATAAGCACTGTAAGGATCTGTAGTATTTGAGTATGATGTATAACTATTGTAGTCTTGTGGTGCACTAGCTGTTCCAACAGTTGATGAACTAGAAAGGGGGGCCACGTATGAGCCATCCTGAACATTTTTTGTGTGTGGCTCTGGCTGCTGACCATGTTGATAACTAGCATTTGCTGGCACTCCATCCTGTGAGGGATAACCCTCTACCTTGTGCACTGTCCATGAAGCAGCTTCAGACCCAGATGCTGAGGGAAGATATGACTGTGCCTGCCCTTGATTTGCATCAAATGCATATCTGCTCTGAAAAAGAGTACAAAGTCGCTTTCAGCATGGCTACTGACTGAATCAACAGAAGTGATAAAAGAACTAAAGACAGGCCATATATAAGATAGTTGACGCAAAAACACAACATGATTAATTAAAATCTAACAATCTCCTCTCTCCAAGTTTGACTACCAATAGCACAACCAATGCAGGTTGCATATTTCAGTGAACTGTAAAAGAAGCAGATGGCCGGTTCGTCATACTAGTTCAAACAATAAAAAAAAAAAGTTAATACGGTAAGAAGCTTTAGTTAGCCTGTTTTCACCAAGAAAAGTTGCATGCCTTATGGTCAGACTCTTTGGAGACAATTGAGCCAAAACCGTAGCTAATAAGACTTGCAAATCTAAGATAGAGGATAGATCCCCATGGCTAGAAACAAGCTCAGAGAAGTAGATTCAGCAATTTTAGGATAAAGTAGTGGAATTCCATTTCCCTGGACTTAAACCTCCTCCCATCACGATAGATGCCAGTACTAGTTAGTGAAGATTGATACAAGTTTAATAACTTATCATGACCAATCAGCTAATAAGAGTCACAGCTCGAGTCCCTCAGTATATCAATGTTCCAAAGCAATAAGGGTTAAAGCTGAGTTCTGAATTTACCTCAAGCGAATTAGGGTCCGCGGCAGCAACAGCCTGGGCGTTAACTCCCTGATTCATCATCATTCAGTAACCTGCCTGAACTCGCCAAATACAAAAAAATCAATTAGCTTAGACGGAGCTAACATTTCCAGCACAATCTTACCAAATTAAACAATAGGGACCCAAAACCCTAACCTTCAAGGGGCAAAAGAAAGCGCCTTCAGCAAGCTGCAGTTCCTCCGAAAGCGAATTGGAAGAAGGAAACGAGATACATATAGATAAAGATCAAAACGAAAAATGAAAATACCAGAGACGGATTGACATCCGAAGGAAACAGGGTGGAAGAAGAAGAAGAGGAAGAAAGAGGAGAGAAAAAAAGTTGAACAAATAATCAATCACTGTAAATGAACGCGCGCGAATCGATCAGCAAAAGGAGCAAGACGAGTACAAAGGGACGATAAAAATTAAAGAAGATTAATAAGTTAATAAGGTTTGGGAAAATTGAACAAAGGTTGGCGTGGAATTGGAGAGAGCTAGAGAGGAAAGGAAAGGAGTCGAGGTCGGTTCGTGTTTGGGTCGCGCGAAAATTAGATGAAGGCGCAGCAGGTGGCCGGTCACGGTTTCAATTAGGGCTGCAAATGAATGGGGTAATTATCATAAATGACCATACAACTTATCGCTTAGTACAGAATAAGTTTAATTTTGCACGTTTCAATCAAATACGTTTAGAAGTTTACCAAAATAGTCATTCCGTCAACTCCATCCAAAGCATCCATCTCATCGAAATAATTAATAAAATACTAAACAAAACCAAACCCAATTAAAACTCCTAACCAACCTGCAACCAATCCAACCCACCCATTTCTCTATCCTCACCCTCTCCACCACCATATCCACATTCTCGTCGTTGAGTCCCTCGCCATCGCAGTCACTCCCGTCGGCAATAAAACCTACATCCTAAAATCCCAAGGGCAACCCCTTCCCCGACATGGCCTGGGTCATCATCCCAAGGAGCATATTGTTGACGATATGCTCCTTCCCCAATAAGATCTAGGGATTCCAATTAACTGAAATTCCCAGAACAAACGAGGGGAAACATAGAGAGAGGATCCAGTGACTAATGGGGGGGGTGCTTAGTCACTTGACTAAGCCCCTCCCAGCCCTTAGATCTGGATATAGCAATCTGATGGTTAAAAAGTGGGAATGGATATTTAATTAATGACAGGGGTAGTTTGGGTATTATGAAAAATTACGAAGTATACAAACCGGACTTACAATCAATACAAACCATACAAACATATGAACAGTACAAACTAGAGCGACAAAACATACAAACATATGAACTGTAAAAAAATACAAACTAGACCGACAAACAATACAAACCATACAAAAAGAAAAAACAACCAGGTTGACTTTGGAGGCTCCATCCCTATATAGAGGGGCTCCTTCCCAAAGTCAACCCGAGTGTTTTTTAGACATACAAACATTCCAAACATGGTGGACAAAAATGACAAACTAGACCAAAAATTCATACAAACTCGAAAAATACCCGGGTTGACTTTGGAGGCTTCATCCCTATATAGAGGAGTTCCATCCAAAACTCAACCAGGTTGTTTTTTAGACATAAAAAACATTACAAACATGGTTGACAAAAATGATAAACACGATGCACAAAAATAACAAAGTTTGTAAACATTAAAAAAAAACCGACAAACATTACAAAATAACAAAGCGTACAAACATTACAAAATAAACCGACAAACAGTACAAAGCATACTAACCGTACAAAATGTCACTAAAAATGACAAACAATACAAACTGAATTTATACAAACATTACAAAATAAGTCAGCAAACATCACAAATCCAACACTGTCGCCGGAAAATTTCCTCCGGTCGCCGAAAAACTCTCTCTCTCTTCAACAAATAATTCCATGGAGCCAAAATTCCCCAGCAAAAGAATAAAAATGCCCGGGAATTATTCCCATGATCCCATCACCGGCGCCGATCTCTCTCTCTCTCCCAACAAATAATTCCAGGGAGCCAAAATTCCCCAGCAAAAGAATAAAAATGCCCATGGATTATTCCCATGATCCCATCACCGGCGCTGATCTCTCTCTATCTCTCTCTCTCTCTCGTTGCATGGCCAGGGGATTATTCCATCACCGGCGCCGCCGATAGCAAAGGTAGTAAAAGTGGCCGGCGGAATTATTCGGCACCGGGAAGGAACACTATTTGTTTAATTAATTAATAATTAAAAATTAATAAAATCATCCAATTACTATATTGTCCTTCATTAAATTGAATTAATCTGAGCCTTTGAATTTAATTGAGGTTGGATGGCTGAGATGCACTTAATCACATGACTAAGGAGACCCCACTTAATCACCTGATCTTGGCCCGGGAAACATAATAAGATCAGTTAGAAGGGATTCATAAATTAATTTAGAGGTTATGGGGAAAGAAAAATGTACAATTCAAGAATTTGGGGAAATGCTTATATATTTACCTGACATGCGGCTCCAAGTGCCGAACGACGCTGGGCCGGACGCGATGAAGAAGGAAGGAGATTTTTGAAGCGCAATTGCTAGATTCTTAAGATTCTCTTCTCTAGCTAGGAAACAGATGTCGCCTATAAACATACCTTCCTGACGCATAAGCAATCCCCGCTCACATCTACAACTTTACCATGAGAGCGGTGATTGCAGCTCCACACATTGAGAGGTGAGGAGTCGCCGAAGTGTTAGAGAGCGGAAAACATATTGGCGACGGTGACAGAGATGGCGAGGGACTGATATATCGGAAACTTCAGGGGTTCACTGGGTTTTAAGGGGCTAACTTTAGGGGTGGGTGTCCGGTTCGATAAACCCCGAACCAAACCAGAAGGAAACTGAATTAATCTAACCAAAATCAAATTATGTTATTCGGAAGACAAAATGCTATATTTCGAAAACCAGGGTCTGTCCAACCGAACAACAGAATTTTCTCACCCTCTCACACTCACAGCCCACAACCCCAAGCCCTCTCTCTCTACCTCTGTTTTTCCCTTTGCTAGTGAAACCCTAGCCCAACCCAAACCTCACACACTTCAATCCATCAGCCTCCTCCCTTCCCACAAGCCACACCCAATGTTCCCATTTCCCAATCATGTCTGCCTCCACTTCAATACAATCTCGTCGCCGACAACCACATGCAGACGACAGAGAGTGGAAGAGTCGCGGTGGGAGAGGAAGAACACGGTGTCGAAGGGAGCAGAGCACGTCGCGGCGGCGGAGGGAGCAGAGCGTCGAGGATCTGGGGATTGCAGAGTTCAGCGTCGAGGCGGCGGAGGGAGCTAAGCGGCAGAAGGTTTCTCGTGGAGGCGGTCACGGCGGTCGACGGTGATGTTTCCTCTCGTGCTACAGTCGGCGATTGGCTTCTGGTCGGAGTTAGATCTCTGATGGTCTGCGGGAGATGGGAGAAGCAGAAACAGCGGCGATTCTCCCCTGCCTTCTCTCTTAACGAGCTCTCCCCTTTCAACCTTCCTTCTCTTTTGCATGCATGCATGCATGGATGTTGGTGGTTTGGAGTTCGTCGGCATCAGAGGGAAAAAGAGAGAGAGAGAGAGAGAGGTGGAGAGAAGATGAGTGAATTTGCGAATGAGAAGATGTGAATGAGAAAGAGAGAGAGAAGAGATGGGGGTGGGGTGGGACATTTAGTCTTCATGGCGGGAGTCAACTGGACTGCTGTCATTATGGTAAATATCGGGTTGCTCAGAAAACCAAGCCAACTGGAATATAATTCGGTTTGGACAAACCGAACCAAATTATATTTCTGTTCGAATTTAGTTTGAGCTATGAGACATTTCGGGGACCTAATATGCTTGATTTCGGTTCAGTTTTGATCGAACCAAACCGATGTCCACCCCTAGCTAACGTCGATTGTGACTCTGGCCACGTGGATCTTGACCTATGAGAGGTTTTGATGCCTCTGGCACAGAGAATTATGGGGATGTGGAGCAAAAATCGAGGTCCTAAGGAAGTCTATCTAGGCGGCGGCGATGTGCATATGTGACTACTGTTCTCGTTCGGTCGGGAGGGTTGAGTATGACTCAGTTGAGTTTAATTGGTTTGGTTTATTGAATTTTATATTAAGTTTTTTAGTGATGTGGCATAGTGACGGTATTGAGTTAACGGATTTTCGGATGGAAATGGAAGCAATGACCTTTTTGGTATATGCACAAACGTGTTTGATTGAAATGTGCAAAATTAAAATTTAGTGACCATTTTGTAGTAAATGTTAAGTTGTGTGACCGTTTATAATAATTACCCCGAATGAATGAAGTCAAGTTGAGTTTTGTTTTAATTTGGGTTTGGCTCGTTAAAAATGAGTTAGAGTTCGACAATTTTGACTTGTGCTTAATCTGAACTCGATTAGAGTTGTTCTTGTTAATAAGCTCAAAAGGTCTGCTTGAGTTTAGCTCATCACTTAGCTTGTGAGATCGGCTCGAACTTGGAGAAGAAGCTACCTCTAGCAAGGGTAAACAACCATTCCTTCAATAGTGTAGTTGTAGAGTGGTTATCTAGACTCTAGATGCAAGAAAAAAGCGAGTTAAGTCATTGAGCCGGTCAAACAAGGAATTTGATGTTTATAGGTTTGATCGGGGTCCGACCGGTATGAGTCATTTTATACGTTTTCCAAATATATATACAAATAAGGTAATAATTAAAAATTAACGACTAAAATAAAATTTATCTTACATGTATCTATTAAATACTTATTTCTCACAAAATAAAATCTACCTAACCTTCATGACTAATTCACCATCTTCCTTCCTTCTTTCCCTCTCCTCCCTCTCCTCTATCTTCTTCTCCCTCTTTAGGGGTCAGACCGGAAAGCTTTCTAGAGCCATTTTGAAGCACGACTTAGATCTGAACAGGTCCAACCTGGGACCCGATAAGGCTTAGGGGTCAGACCGGAAAGCTTTCTAGAGCCATTTTGAAGCACGACTTAGGTCGGAACAGGTCCAACCTGGGACCCGATAAGGCTTTGACAATCTTATGCAAGAATAACCATTTTGTATTCCTCAGACATGGAAAACAACATATTCCCTGTTTGTTCCGGATGCATATACTTTTTACTTTTCAGAATGTGCAGTTTGTTGCTTAGGAAATGAAGTGTTTCATGTCCCCAATGAGCCCAATCCTTGCCTTCAACGTCACAATGTACTTTCTTCTTTTTTGCCTCCCCTAACATTATTTAACTATTGTGAAATAGGTGCTGTAACAAAATGTCGAAGTGCATCCCAATCATAGACAAAAATATAACAACTCAAATTGTCGTCAATTGAATTGCTCGTCACATGATCATGTTGTTGTATATTTAGTTCCCACAATGTAGACGTGGTCCGTGGGTGTTGTTTATAGTTGTCTTTAAAGATGGGCCAAAAAAGTGGGATCATTCTCCACCACTTGTATAGTTGAGCATTATAAGCTTTTTGGACGTGATGCGAATGTGTGGTTTCTTGTTAATGAAATGCAGAACTAAGAGACCACACTGATCTAGTCACAGCAGCTACCCCGCTCCAGCTCGTGACCAAGCTGTTCTTTTCCTTTCATGAATACAATCAAACTATTTCCAATATCATTTTCCTGAGGTCAGTCACACAAGATCCCTGGAATTGGCTGTGTCACACACCAACGGAGAGTTGCCGGTCGGTGACGACAACCGGTGAGGAACCATAAGGGAGAAAACAGTTGCGCAGACTTCACCACCACTGCCTGCAATTTCTTCTCATGCTTCTCTTCCCTATACTTCTATTATTGTAATCAACCTAGCACTTGGAAATGGAACGATCTATAGAACACCACAAAAACAGCACCAACTCTGCATCATCCCACCGTCTCAAAGTTTCACCATTAAGACCATAACTGAGAGACTTCATCAGTCATCACCAGGTACAAATGCTGCAGATCAGCTCCAACCATTGCACATGTAAAACAGGGAGCCACCAAATGATGAAGTTATCACACATCATGAGCAGAAGGCATGAAGACCTAAAAGCTACCGATTTTTTGACACAAACTCGCTCATTGACCGATGTAGTCTATAACCAGTAAGTTAATTCACAGCAGAGCAAAGTCCATTTTCTCCAGGAGGCAGCGCACCCCAACAGTTTCAGATGCCTAGATATCTTCTCAAGCCAGCAGATAAGAAGCAAGCAGTAGCACAACCTGCAATTTATGCAACGAAAGCATATGGCACAGGAACTAGAAGTGACATGTCAAAGCTTCTGTCACATGTGGCTGCCAACTGCAAAAAAACATTTTGCACATAGTTCGCAAGATTCAGAAAATTGAAGTTACAAACCAGAAAGTTAAAAGCTCTTCTAGATTTCATTCAGAAATTCCCTTGATTGCTCTATAAAATAATTCCAGGAATCTGAATTATTGACCTTCTTACATACCTGCCAGCCAGTCCCCCGACTTGAGCATATGATCAGAATGTAGGGGGCGGAGACAACTGAGAAATTAGAATATTCCCCCAAGATAATATACAAGAAAATATCTTAAGCAAAATATCCTCTCAATATCTCAATACTGCCCACCATTGATTATGACAGTACACGCTCGCTAAATGAAACTGAAAAAGGGAATGGCAGCATCCAGAATTGACCCAAGGTATCCCAAATATGTACAACAGATCAATCATCTGGTTAGTTCAGTTCCGAAATCTTTATCAAAGCTGCTTTTTATAATGGCTCCATGTACAAGCAATTTCGTGCAGTGTAAACACAGTCCCGACTTAACAGCCAAAACCAGACCTTCCTGCTGGTCGCGATATTTAACTTAGCACCTCCACCAGATCCACACTTGTCCAAGGTGCTGGTACATGATATGCAAATTTATTCTAGTCAAATCTTTTCCTTTTCACCCTAGTCACGTCATCAAAACCATCATCATACACCTGCCCACCATGTCTATAGTTTCCTTCCTGCTCTTCCATACCCCTTACTCTTCTAGGAGCATTCCCAGGTCGATTCTTCATACGCCTATCAAGTTCTCTGTCCCTCAAGTTATCTCTCTCCTGCATTGCTTGATTATCTAGAGAAAATAACCTGAAAGGCCTACTAGGTCCATCCTCTGAGTTCAGATGGAAATTTTCACCTTCGACATCATTGAAAGATGACCTAAACGGGCGAATAGGTCCCCGTCTTTCACTAAACCTTCTTCTGTCTTCACCATCTCCATCAGCAGCACCTAGATCATGATGAAATCTACCACCAGATTGCATGGGTCCACCAAAGAACTCATCACTTCCTTCCCTCTCTCGATGATCAACAGGACCAAATCTCCTACTGTTTCTAAGTAAAGCCCGGCCATTAGGGCTCCTATTTGACGACATCATTGACCTGGGATGGACATGATGATTTCTTTCAGGATCCATTTCCCTCATATCATTTGGTCTCGACAAGTATGGAGGGGATCCAGCGTGTCTTCTAACCCCCATTTCTTCAGGAAAGCCACTAGAGTGATCAGGTGATCTCATTCTATCCATCCTGTAAATTGGTGGCGACATCCGACCACTCAATTCTGGTGGCCCACCAAATTCACCAGGAGATCTTCTCCTGGAAGATGACCATGGACCGGGAGAGCGAGATCTGATTGGAGATTTTGAATGAATTTGGGGACCCCTTCTTTGCATGGATGAAAAGTTGCGAGGCCCCTGAACAAAATGACCATCCACCCCCTTGTATGGAGGCTGAGGTCGTGTGAATGTGTGCTCTATATCATCATCATCATCAGGGTAGGCTCCTCTCACAATCTTATCTGAATGTCTCAGTCCAACTTCAGAGCTTTCCTCACCAATATTTCTGGGAACCCTATGCATCATTTGAATGCCTCGTCCTCCAGGAGAGTGCCTCCTTGAGGGTAAATGGCGAAACATTGATGTCTCATTATCCATTATCTTTCTCCCTCCACGGCCATTATTATTAATGAAGTTGCCATCAGGCCCAATGTTTTTCATGAATTCTGTATCACCTTTGTGCCGCGGGACAAAATCTGAGTTTCCACCATAAAAATCTGAGTGGAAATCACGTTCTGGATCCATATCACCATGTCGATTGCCAGCTCGACTTGGAAGCCTTCCTCTACCACGGTTAAAATTTAATCTGTTGTTTCTATAATAATGATGATCATGACGCCTCTCTCTTGAAAACCTTTGGGAACCATCATTATTATATGGTTCATCCCTGAAACATAGTTGGCCATAAACAAGATCAGAGGAAGTTAGAAGACTTAATGTTAAGCTGTTAGTAAGAAGAAACAAATAACATTAAGCAGAAATTAAGTGAATAATCATCACCTCCCTCGGGAATGAAATCTGTCTCCATCAAGAGACATATCTGGTAATCTTTCTCTACCAGGACGTGATGGAAATGGCTTGCCAGAGGTAGATCTGCTTTTATCAGGAGATTGCATGTTGGAAGCTTTAGGCAAGTTTATAATCCTAGCCCGGTTATTAACAGCATTGTTGATATCTTTAGCATCATCACTGGTTAAAGGCACTTCTGTGTTCAACAATGCTGAACCACTCTTCTCCAAACTAGCCGTCTGAGTACTATCTTCTGAAACTTGAGAAACTATAGACAAATTTTCATGGCCACTAAAAGTTACAGCAGATTGTTCTGCGCTCTGCCCTTCCGGGTCGTCCTTCTTACCTGATACATCATGTGATCCTCCTTGCATTATCCTGCCAGGGCTCTGCTTAACATATCCTACAGCCTGCAATTGAGCTAAAGACGGTTCCATAGAATCAAGTCTACCAGCAATAACGGTAACTCTCCCATCAACCTGCGAAACTACGGATTCTTTAGCGATGTCATCACTTCTTCCACCAGAGCCTTCTTGATGTTTGTCATTCTCTTTAGCTAAGAATGAAGTAAGATGGACATCCATAGTGTTCCTTGTATAGTTTACCTGGTTTGCATAAAAATCTAAAGAACCAATGTCTTGAGTAATATTAGCTGTTGGACCCTCAGTTGCAGGTCTTAGTTGTTGATCTTGAACCTCACCATCTTCATAGTCATTGTGACCCACCCCATCCTCTTCTATGTCCATTGGAACAGAATTGCCATCAGACTCATACTCATAAGAATCTTCTTCTAGAATATCAGCTGACAAATTGATCTTTTCTTCATCGCTGGCAGAAACATTAACATTTCCAGGCAATTGCTGGGTGCTCATGTCGTCCACACATTTCAGCTCAGATTCCTTGGGTATATCCACATTCTGATCACGGCTAATAGGAGCAGTGCTTGCTCCAACCACATTTAATTCAACGTGACATGCAGGTTCAGAAATCACATGTTTGACAGTTGTGCTTTCTCCCAGGGCCACATCATTGTTCCGGCAGACTGTATCAGTACTCTTAACCTGTTCTGACGGGTATGAAACACTTTTACTGGCTGATTGCACCTGTTTGCCCCACTGAGCATTCTGATTATATGATTCTTGATTATTAATTGAACAACCAGTCTGTTCCTTCATTTCCAGACTTAACGATTCCCGATTGTCAGATTGTTCCATTATCACCTCTAGTTTATCAGGCTGGGCACCTGACGATTCTTGTCTCTCAGATTGGTCTAATATGTCATTACCAGGGCAATTCAGTGCACCTTCTACCTTATCAAATTGTTCCATCATCCTGTCTACCCTCTGGGACTCCTGTAGCTTATCAGATTGTTTTGCTGTCCCTCCTACCACCTCAGACATATCTGGATTAGCCAGTTTGGGTGATTCCTCTTCCAGTCCGTTAAGTGCCTCTGTTTTACCTGATTGCTGAGATACCCCAACTGCTGTCTTCAAATCTTCAGCGGCACCCGATTTATGAGACAGCAAATCTATTTCGTTCTTCATCTGCACTTCACCAGACTGCTGAGTTATATCCTCATCTATCCTTGGTGATTCTTCAATACCTGGCTGCTGACACTTCCCCTCCACCACCTTGAGCATTTCCTGGTTACCCTCTTGACAAGACTCGTACTTTATGGATCTAGGACCAATAATTTTCAGAGAACTATAACATCCAGACTTGAGAACCTCCTGAGCAAGCTTCTCCATCAATTCTCTCTTCACTGGTCCATTAACAACTGATGGTGGAATGTTGAAAACAGGTCTAGTCCCCTCATCACGTGGTTCTTGTTTAACATTCTTAGGTTTAGAGATGCCAGACTTGCCAGCTGAGGACAACCCTTTGGGCAAGCTGGCATTAGGAAAAACCTTGCACGGGTCTTTGTTGGAAACAGAGCATGATGGTTCTTCACTGACACTAAATGAAAGAAAGGATGGGCTGAGGCATAAATGAAGTGAACTGTCAAGATTATGTTGTGTGGCAGATTGTGAAACTGTTCCAGAGGAACTCAAGGGCTTCACGCTCTTTTCTAGGACATTCTTTGCATCAGATACAGCAATGCTATTAGCATTTGTAGGGCATATCAAAGGCTTTTTATCTGGCCTGGCACCTGCTGATTTCAACTCATTATCTGTTATTTTACCTGCAGACTTATCATCCAAAGGGCCTTCCCATGCATCCATTGTAGTGTTCAAGTCCCAGTTTAATCTATCAGCAGATTTACTACCACCATCAGAAGTCAACTTCATATCATCTTTCTTGCACTGGGTGCTGGTTCCTGCCTTGCTCGAAGATATATTCAAAGAAATAGACTCTTCATTTCCCTGTCTGTGACTACTTCCATCGTTACTATCAGCAACATGGTGTTCTTTCAAGCCTAAAGACAATTCAAGGTTCCCAGAAACAGCAGACACCCCAGGTTTACACTTCCCAGCTGGCACTTGCTTCTTAACAGTAACCTCACCTGGATTAGGTGGAACAGGTGCTGACTTCAACTCATTGGTTGCAGGAATAACAGAAATTTTATCAAGAGCCTCAGCTTCCACAGGCTTATTCTCACTACCAAGAGGAGCCAAAGAATCGGAAATAACTTCACCACATGATGCCTCACTTTTGACCAATGAGCTATTATTAACACTGGTAGGTATAGCCGTGTCAGGGATTTTCTTTGTTGCATCAGACAAACCAGACGCACTACCCGCAAATTTAGGATTTAAAGGAGCAGAACCATATGTAGAGCTAACAGGCTGTATAGAACCATTCTTTGGAGAAACTGAAGAGGGTTGTTCTTCAGGTGTAGGTGAGGGATGGCGAAAGAACCTCCTTTTCTTGATAGGAACACCTGAAATATCAAAACTAGGCTGCCGGGCAAAAGGTTTAACCCCAGACTGCCAATAGAAGACATAACAATTAATATCCAGAAAGCGAGCAAAATATAAGAAGGGCTACACCAATAATTCGTAAATAGAGGAATTAACACCTCTTCCTTTCCAGAAACTGGCATTTCCTCGGAAGCTATGTAACACCCTCGTCCTGCTACACTTTCACCAAAATAACTCAGGGTATTACTTCATGTGCGCCCCTATCCAAACAAATCCCACTTCAAATAACAATAACTCCAACCCTGTTCGAAGAGAACGAAGCTTCAATTACCCAGGACCTGCAAAGGAAAAGGCAAAACAAAATCTGAACTCGGAAACTCAGAAGCGAGAGAGCATTTACACTGCAATTAATTGACACCGTACGGATCAAGCAGATATGGCCCAGACACACACTCTAGCCTTTCACAACCTATAGCTGGAGATGCAACGCCATTAATAAGGAGTCTACATCTAGATCTAGATCCAAACAGATATCTGACAAACCGATGAACCCACGTAGGAGAATACCGAAATTACAGCTCAAGCAAGTGCAAAGCAGAAGAGGGATGGTCTAGAAAGATGCTAGAGGGTTTCTCGAACACGCCTGCAAATTTTCGAATCGGGTTTCCAGAAAGAAGCCAACATAACTTGTCCCAGCTGCCCACAATCGAATCGACGACCCCCAAAATCGAACACCCAAAAGCAGCCTGATCTCTCCTACGTCTTTTGTTTTCTCTTTTTATAAGTAAAGCAATCAAAGAAATCGTTTTCCCCACGCGTCAAACGAGATTGGGGAAAGCAGCATCCCCGTCTCTTCGCAAAAATCACCAAAATCACACTGACCGTATTGGGGAAAACCAAAACCAAAGCCAACCCACGCTGACCAATCAAATCCCGGTGAATCCCAAAACTCCCAAAGAGGAAACAATCAACGCGACGCGGAGAGAGAGAGAGAGAGAGAGAGAGGGAAAGAGAAGCAGCCGGCGAGCACGGCGGCTGTGATTACCTGGAGTGGAGTGAGAGAGATAAATAGAAAGAGAGAGAGAGGGGGAAATCAGAGTTCACTAGTTCAGAGAGAAAAACACCACGCAGCCGCGTGAAGACTATTTCTTCGGAAAAGAAAGGAGAGATGGAAATCGGCTTGTTTAGGGTTCGGCCAAGGGAATTTCTTTCAGAGCTCCAATCCCTCGGTCTCTCTCTCTCTATCTATAGCTAGCTTTTTTCCGCCTTCACTAATCTTTGTTTATTATTCTTGTTGTGGTGGACTGGTGGTGGGGAGTGGAAGTTTTTGTATTGTTATGGGCTGTGGAGAGGATTCACATTTCACATTCGGAAACGGATACGAGGGAACGCCGGCCGGACGCCGTCTCCATCTCGGCGGTGGGTCCGGCGTTCGGTGGTGGATGGACCGGTTTGGGCCTTTGGTTGATGTTGACACGTGGCTCCCTCTAGTTATTGACTGACTGACTGACCCTTTCCTTACTCTTTTCTTCCTTTTCGGGTTTCGCGGGTCGTCGTTCACGTTTTCCGATGGGGTCAGGGGACTTTTCCCCGGCGAAATTGACGTTATTATTATCGGCCGAGAAGGAAAAGGTTGGGCCTGAGTTTGGGCTTTGGCTTGGCCTTATTCAATGCTTGAACGTGTGTGAGTTGACAGGCTTTCTTTGGTGGTGGGCCTTGACAACCAGCGCACAGCGGGTTGTGGAAACTGGAAAGACCGCAAGGAAAGTCAGTTTGTCATGTGTTGATGGTAGATGGAGTAACAACTAACAACTCAAGAGACTGCGGAGATTGTTGCTCAAGTCAGTCTTTGGTTTTACGAGTTAATAGCTTTGGTTGATACAAGCTCGGTACACGTTGTTTCAATAGGCGAAAATAGGTACTTCGAATTCTGCCAGTCAAATTCTCGGGTTGAGAACTCTGACCATCTCAGGTGAGAAAACCACATTCACTAGTGGATTGGGTGGGAGATGGGTCGAGCGGAAGCTGAGTTATCTACGGCTTGTTTGTGGAGAGCTCTATTGGAAACAACGCTCACGAATGCGATGGCTACTGGAAGGGGATTCGTAACTTTGTTTAGGTAAGTTTGCTTGCAGTTCACTCGGTAACAGCTCATAAACATCTCTTGTTCTTAGAAGCAAGACATGGAATATGTACAATGTGCATGTATCCATACAATCAAGCCAATCCTAAGGCGAAGGAACAAGAGGAATTACACAATGGAGTAGGTTTTCTGGCATGCTTTATGACGCATCACTAATATTCACAGAATTTCGCTGGGAACAGCGTTAAGCGCGCTCTCAGCGAGGTCGAATGGATTTTACAGAGCTCTAGGGTTTATGAAATGTATGCCTTCACCACATCTGAGTAATTACAGACCAGCCCTGTTCTTGGACAGGTCACCTTACCATTGTTCTTCTTGGCCATCTCTTCAAGTGCCTGCAACAAACAGGATATGTCAGAGAGGACAAAATCACATGACTTGGTAATCTATTTTTCGACCGGGTTTCATGATACGAAGAGCACAGCATCGCTACCTTAGTGCTGTAGACATAGCCATTGGGCAGTACTTGAGGTGGGTTCTCAGTGTCCATTAGCTCTTTAGTTATGTAGCAGACGAGCTTCGAGTGGTGCTGCTTAGAGTAGGGTAAAGGCAGTGCTAACTTCCGGAAGCTCTCTTGCGATAGCGGATCCTCTTTTGGACAGTCATCAGCGTAGCAATATCTAAAGGCACAGTCAAGCTGAAACAACTACTTGGGAAAAAAGCATTTTAAAGCACTAAATCCAGCCATTCAGTGTAGAAATCTGCTTACTGAAAAAGGATCAGGAACCTAATAACAATAATGACAGGTAATGCACAACAACAATTTTTGAAAATGGTAACAGGCAGTTGAAAGACTGGCAATCAGTGGATACGGGGTCTTCAGGGCAGATAGCCCGGTCTGTAGGTAAATATTCAGCAACGGTTCAACTGTCATGCCATATAACTTGCTGAATTCCTGTTTAAATTGGTCCACCAGATAGTCCCATTGCTCCGGTTCAAAAAGAACCTGGAAGGAGAGTAACATGAGGAGACAATCAGTATCACGATGTGTTCGAGCATCTAGGCAGAGTATTCCAAGGGAAAAGCAGGAAGTCAAGTAAATATCTGATAATAAGGTAGCATGACCCTGCATACCAACAGAATACCAATACGTGATGAGAACACAGAATAATCATGCTGAAAGGAAGTGGAAGTCCACATAAATCTGTATCACAAGCCCAAACAACTATAAGGTCTCAGAATCTATAGTCACCATTTCAAGAGATCATAAATCAATCACAGAGATAATCACGGTGACTGGGCAGTAATCGAAGAGAATTTTTTATAGAGAGGATGATATTTTGATTACCTTATATGCAGCACATACAGTACCACTCCTGAAAGCCAGAGTGGCCATAACCCTCTGCAATTCTTTCATATGGGTAGCTCCCCATGGAGAAAGATATTTCCGAGCATATGAAATGGCACCCATGTGATTGTCAGCTCGCACCAATTCTATGAACTCTTGAAGTCTCAACTGGAACTCAAATTTGCTCTGCTATCATTCCGAACAAATTAGAGTAACCAAAAAGTGAAAAGTTCATTAATAAGCTCCTATGGCTGCAATAGGGGGTTCACCTATCAAATAATAGTTTGCATGTATTCTTATGTACAGTTAGCAACTTAAAATGGCTTCGAATGAAACTGATGACCGAACGAAGTTCCAACTGAGGTAACTAATGCATATTCTTTGGAATGCTTGGATCTATTAGACCAAATCAGAAACTTAGTACTTGAAATGGTATTCATTCGCCTAGCATAAACAATGGACACTAGGCCTCGGGTAACAAACACTGCATTGAAGTTAATGTTCTGCTATATGATGGTTGTTACATCAAGAGATAGGCCAACCTAGCAATCATGATGCGGCCAACATGGCCACAATTTTAAACTACAGCTCAAGTTTGCTCTACAGTTTTCAGAAGAAGAAAAAAAAAAAAGCAATCTATAATCTATTTCACAAAAACAAAGTACAATGCTAAGCTCCTCCTTGGTTGGAGGAGACTCTATCCGCTCCAAATGGGATCCAGCCAAGTGTGTACTTTTGTTTCCTAGTTCTCTTCATCATGTTTAGTCTTGCTTCTAAGTTCTAAGGAGGACATAAATTGCCCGTCCCAAATCCTAGAAGTCTGGACCACTAACCCTTAAATCCCCAAAATTGCTAATCTGACTTCAAAGTTCCAAATACGCTCAATAAGGACAAAGGGATGAGGGGCGTAACCAAGTACATCAATGAATTGAAAGCCAAATATAACCACGATTTGACAATTCAAAATTAATCTCGAAAATTAACTCCGACATTTCTGCTGCTGAAACGAAAATGCATATGCTCAAGCAGTCAAGCACTAAAATTCCAAAAGGGAAGAATCAGAACAAATGACCTTACACGAGAACAAAATAATTATAATAAGATAGCATAGACAATAGAGAAAGCAATCTCAACTGAGCAAGAGTTGTGCTCCAAGCCAGGAAGTAGCACCATACCTTGGACTTCCTCAACCGTGACTTGTTTTCAGCACACCAAGCTAAAGCAGGAGCCACTTCTTTATTCTGGAGAGCATCAATAACCCTTTTCGCTTCTTGGAATACATCAATATCAACCAGATCCTGAGATCAACAAGTAAGACAAAAAAGACAAATTTATCAAAAATTCCATCATGCATCGAATACCAGATGAAGAGCCACAACCAGTAGGATGAATTACAATAACCTGAATGTTGCTGGTTTCAGCTAGCTTCGTTGCAGTGTCATTGTAACACATTCGCAACATATAGTCCACCAGAATTCGCTTGAGACGGGTGTTGCTCCAATCTGCCATATTCTCTGCATCTGCTGATTCCAAGTGGTCGAGACGAGCTCGACATCTCTGTGCTTGCAGGTTCTCAGTACGACTACCCTCTTCCAACTGAACAGGATTAAATACGCCAAACAGCAACAACCAAAATCACCATAAGCAACAAACAACAGAAATCTTATCCGTTGACACAACTATTCGCTAACCAAAGCAACATCATCACCAATTATTAAATTAATTAGCATGTTTCACATCTTCAAGGAACCAGAGCTTCAGTGCAAACAAGGAAAATAGAAGAATCCTAACCTTTCTCTTGAGCCCTTGCAATTTGGAGACGAGGGAGGTGAGGTGCTGGACTGCGTCGTCCTTGGACAAATCGGAAGCGGCGGCTTCACTGACGCCGGAGACGACGGATGAGATTTCCTTCTCGGCGGCGCGGTGGTTGGCGCGGATCGTCTTCTTGTAGTGCTCGAAAGGGACGCGGGCAAACTGGTGCTCGAGCTTCAATGATTCGGTCAGTTGCGAAAGGTTGGACGGCGGCGCGGGGGAGGCGACGGTTGAAGCAGGATTGAGGGGGAGTGGGACGGCGGAGGCGGCGAGAGAGTTTCCGTTGGGAAGAGGGGAATCGATTTCCATGGCGGGGGAAGTGTTCGAGTGGAGATCAGAGGAGAAAATGCAAGAGAGAGCCCGCGGGGGGGAAAAAGACGTGGACGATTCTTTGAGTGCCGAGGAAGAACAAAGAACGCAAAGAAGAAGGATCCAAGCAAATGAATAAAGAAAGGAGAGGAAGATCAGTGAGTGGCACCAAACGGCGGCGTTTGGTTGTGAAGAATAGTTAGTAGTGGATTAGGTACGTGGGCCCGATAAAGCCCACCACGGCTACGTGGGCACATCTCCGGCCCATCCGATATTAAGCTAGATGGTCTTAAATGTGCATGAAAGAAAGTTAAAATAAGATAAACATGTTGGAATAATATGAGATAAAGCGGGTTAAGATTCGAACTAGCATAACCCTGCCCTTTGGGCACGTAGTATTTCTTTAACAATGTAATCTATGAATATATGTAACATTACAAAAAATTGATTTGATTATAACAATATTTTAGTTCAAAATACTGAAAATGTTAAAAAAAACTATTCAATTGAAGTCAAGACTGAAACATTCTCATCTTTCTTATTCGTATGCTTATTTTAAAGAGGTTTATTGCATCTAGATCAAAATTATATAAATTTTAGGTGTATTTGAGATCAATAATATTTATATAACAAAATGTTATGTTTTCATACTCTGGTTTCTCAACCAAAAAAGCTAGCGGTTGATAGTTCAATGGTTAATCATTATAAAATATTGTTAATCATTTATAAAATCGTCCATGCATTATAACATAAAAGCCATAATATACTAATTTAGAAGTGCATTTATCACTAATCATAAATACTTTCAAAAACCTATATCATCTACCACCAAAAATATTTAATAAATATTCAAACTATCTAACAAAGAAATCAATTTTTTTTATTAAATTCAAGTTAGTAATCATGTGAAAATCCGTACTGAACCAAATAGAGGTGTCAAATAGGTTGGGAAATGAAGAAAATAATATAAATATAATTAGTGATTGAGGTTGGGTGGTTTTGGTTTATGTAAAAATATATATATTAATATTTTATAGTTAAATAATAAACCTATGGGTCAATCAAGCTGGGGTGGTTCTTCTTAATTCACGTCAAATCGTTAAAATCGTTCAATGTATCATTAACCGTCCAATCAAATGAATCGAATAGCTATTGTAACTTATTTAGTGGTTTCAGTGCCCAACCGGTTATCCAGTTCGAGTTATATATATTCTAGATATGTTATTATTAATATAATTTTCTTATAAATAAGAACATATTAAACATCAAAGCTAAAAATCCAGTTTAAAAATGCCCCAAAAGATCTACATGTTCCCAAAAGATTTTTACAGTTTTTCAAAATTCATTAATACATGCAATCTTTTATCTTTGGGGTCATTAAAAAAAGCACGGAAAGTTAATAAAAGAAAAAATACAATCGTTCAAAAAAACAGAAGGAACACGTTGATTAACAAATAATAATTGGTGGTAAATGCTTGGAAAAAAATATGGAATCTTTAAAAATATTAAAGGACTTTTAATTTTAACCCTATGCCACGTAATCCTCGGTGAAACCTGAAAGTGTCCACGTAAGCCACCTTTCTTCCGTCCGCAACCGTCTCTCGGCCGCTATTTGCCTATTTTCTCTACTTTTGGAAAATCCCAATATCAACAACGCTTCTCTTTCTCTTCTTCCACCCTTATTCTGTTATTTCCTTACTTTCGTTCTACAACCTACAATTTCACTGAGAGCGGTTTCAGCGGCGGCGCTTGAAATTATTTGCCATCAAGGCGGCGGTTGTCGGTTCAGCAAGACAGCAACGACGTTCGGGACAACCAGCAGGGCTTCTCTCATATTCATCCGGTAATCCGATGATGGATTATGGAGATTAAGATATGACGACTCCCGACGATGTGTCAATGGATGCAGACGATGAAGGAATTGTGATTCAACGCAGGGAAAACAAAATATGACGATGAAGATGATGATTGCGGCAACGACGACAGTGCTGTGTTTGGGTAACAAAGCGAAAGAGAAGTAGTCAGCAGAGCCTCTCTCATATTCATCCGGCAATCTGACGATGGATAAAGAGACGACTCCACGATGGAGTCAAAAAATGAAGGCATTGTGATTCAACGCGGGGAACAAAATTAGACGACAAATATGTAATTGCGGCAACGAGGACGATTGCGCTAAATTTGCGGAACCAAGTGTTGTAAAAGCCGACTTCATTATGTGTATTTTAATGTTGTTCCTTCGTTCAATAAAAAATTGGTGTTTCAAAAGTGACATCAGATAACATACAATTTCTTATTGTTATCTTTTGGCCGTAGTTCATGTGGATTACAAAATTTCAATAGTGATCTTCTTCTACCATTCATTCTGAATTTGTAATAGTTGTCGTGGTTGATAAATCCGTTTGATGAATTTTGTTTCTCCATTTCATTTTAGAGATTTCAACCTCATTGGTGCAAGCTTTTCAATATCTCTGTTATTCTGTTTTTTTCATCTCCATTTACAGGTCACAAAATATGGATGACTTGCGTAGCTTTTTTGGACCTCCAACGTAGAGTGCAATTAGGTTTCTTTTCCTTTCTTTATTTCCCCTTATTACCATCAAATTGTCAATTTCCTTTTTAAATTGCTTCAATGCACAGATGAAAAAATAGAGTATGATTTTACAATGATCAATTTTACAAATGATCAAATTGGACCTTCAAACGGTAAGAACTCTTTATTCCAGTTCCATTTTACAATGAGCAATTGGCTTTTCTAATTTCATGGTTTGTCCTGATTTTCTAATTGTTTGAACAAGCTATTTGAGGCTATAGGCAATGTAGTCAAAAGCGAGTTTCTATGTAGAAACGATTTGGTGATCTAAAAATCGTAAGTTTTTAAGTTTTAAAACGGAGTTTTAACTACATAAATTATAAAAATTGAGATTTTGTGTAGAAGCGTTTTAGTGACATAAAAACATAAAATCGCAAGTTTTAATGTTTTAAATCGCGATTTTGACTACATTGCCTTTAGGTATTTAACTGGATAGACCATAATTGGTGTCCTTTGGACGAGGATTAATCCAAACATTCGAATATGTTTGTTAAGTGTTAATCGACAACGATATTACATATTTATGAGTGACAAAAACAAAGAGTATCAAACTTATGCACAAATATCGCTCATTATAAATAAAACTAATTAAATGATCAAAAGAAACTTACCCGGCCGATGGGCCGGGTAGAAAGCTAGTATATAAAAAAGGGGGAAAAATACCCTAATTCCGAAAATTAAGGAGAGCTCTCCAAGGCTGACGTGGATAGGTGCTTTTCTCAAATCCCTTTTATTATATTTTAAGATTTAAGATGATGGTTTGTAGAAGATGTCGAAGAAAATTTATTTATCATGTTCCATGGTCCTAGTGTGTGTAACTAAGGGATGAATTTGACGGTTTGAAATTATTATTTTCCACTTACCACTATTAGTAGCTATTACATGACCTAAAGTAATGACGTTCTAACAATTTGTCTATACTGTTTCAATCTAATTTAACCTTCAGAACTGTAAACATTTTATGATTTTGGGTCATTGATATTAAGGAACATTCTTCTTATGAAAAACCCATATTAGCATTATTCATGTAATTTGGAACAGAAAATGGAAAGATTTGAACAAGTTAGTCTGTTTGCGACGATGGATGAAGTGGAAGCGAGAATGTCATCTCCAGTTTCTATTGTTAAAAATTATGAATTAGTGTTTTCATTGATATCATTTATTATAAACCCAACTCACGTACGCTTTAATGGACAAACATCCCAACTCTTGAAACATACTACCAGAAATTGAAGTCGCGCATGGTGGATTCACAATTTACTGCATTGACCCACTTGGCTAAACCCGCCCCTACAACCAATGCATTTATAGATTTGAAAGATTCAAATTCCTAACATTGACCCAAATAGTTTAAGGAATAAAATTGAGTTATTTATGTTCGGGGGATTGTCACGCGTGGCAAAAAAGAGTAAGGCTGTGACTGTGACAGGATTGACTGGACGAACTGCCAGTTTGTATTTTTCAATTACATCGAGATCATTAGAACTTTCTCGTATACAGAGACTTATGTCGTCATCTCTATGATTTTGTAAGGGGCGGTTAAAATATCTTTATTCCGTACATATTTATGACTGAATTTTGAAATAAATAATGTGGGCTCTTACCATGAAAACGGCTGCATGCGCAGCAACACCAACTATGATGCAGGGTTTTTGTATTGTAGATTAACCTCATTCCAATAGTACCAATAGACAAGCATGGAGAAAAACGATTTTCTCAATTCGAATTTGATTCTTTTTTTAATGTACAATAAAAAAGAATAGAGAGTTCCATCCTGAGCCAGGATGAACGATGACTTCATTTCTTACAATTTATTGAAACAAAAAGAGTCTAGGACTTTGAAGAGGCTCGCAGGACCTCCCCTATAGTATCTTCACCGCAATAGAGTTTAGCCTAAGGAATGTGAAACATTTATCCTATTCCATCAATCCCATTTTCATTCACCCTCTTCGTCCGGGGGGCCATTGGAGAGATCGAGCTTCAATAAACAATGAATGGTCTTCCATGATCAACTGTTGGCACTAGTCTTACATTTTGTCTATGTGGACTGAGGAAAAATGTAGTAATTAACGATTATGCAATTTAAACAATATTGAATTCACAGATCCACATAGCCCTACCCCTCTAGTGGTATTTTATTGATAGGTTCTATAGGAACGTCATCGGTGCCAATCCAATAAGAGGCTTTTGGCCTTGTTTTCATAGAAATATCTCGTATGTGTAGTACGTTGGTAATCGTATTCATATCAATCGAACATACTTAAATAAGAATGAAAGTTTTATATAAAACCTAAACAAGCTATCTAGCCCATACACTCACACAGAAACATCATAATTAGGTACGGACATGAAATCATGGAAACGAAAATGATTCATAGAAGGAAAGGCGTTGGAAGTGAAGAAAGAGTAATGATAATTTGCATTATGGTGTGTCTTAAAGGAGATGTTGAAACCCAGCATCCATGCCCTATTATCGGGAAAGCAGAAATGTAGAGGTAGTTGGCATAAGATTTATTATTGTAATTCTTCTAATTATTTAAGTTATTGCGATCAAACAATTTATGATATGGTATAAGACCGGACTTATTCAAGTGTTTATATGTTCAAATCTCCACGACTTACTAATATTAATTAACAATTGATCTAAAAACAAGGTATATTGGGCTTGTGTAAACTTCAAACCTATATGAGTTATAATGACATTATATCAAAGTTGGTTTCATTATGAGGTCACGTATTCAAATAATCGCTACACCCAATATTAATCGTTGTTTTAAAATACATTACATGGCGAGTGAGTGCAAATTTCATACCCACTTGTTTACTTTCAATTGATGGGGCTCGAACACGTTGCATGGCGGTTGATTGCAAACTTCATGCCCATTGCCCACTGGTTTACTTACATGGCAGGAGAGTGTAAATTTGATGCCCAGTATCCCCAATATTAATCGTTGTTTTAAAGTACATTACATGGTGGGTGAATGCAACTTCATGCCCACTAGTTTACTTTCGTTTGAGGGGACGTGTAAGGAAGTTGTTAAGATCCATAAATGAACATCTTCCAACAACTCAAGTTATTATGACCATTTGGTTTATTACATGGTATTGTAACTTATGAATACCACGAGATATTGTGTTTGAATCTCGACGACCCCTATTTTTTTATAAGAACCTTGGGGGACTTATTAATTAGGTAAGATGGCTACATTATCCCGCTTTAGCTGATCAATCAAAAAAATGATTAACATTATCCTTTCCGGAGAATTATTACGATGGCTACATTATCCCACACGCATCGTTCATTCCATCTTGTTTGAATCTCGGCGACCCATATTCCTTAAACACATGGTATTTGGATACATGCACAAACTTAAATTCCTAATGAGTGGTTTTTCATTTGAAAGAGCGGGTTAATTAGTAAATAATATAATATTCATAATTAAAGCTCTTCCAACAACTCGAATTAATGACCAAATAGTTCTTGGCATAGTATCGAAACCTTCAATGAACCTCTCTTACCAATTCAAAATTATACAAAATGAGACAATTCAAATTGCCACATCCCTATTGTTACATCCTCATTTTATGTTACCAAATGCGACTATTTTGCCGAATTGCTTTTTTTTTTTTTAAGAATTTTGCAGAATTGCTTTATTTTGCCACAATTGAGACAAATAGCTTAATCCGATTCCATCCCCCAAACAACCCGTTAGTTGTGATTGATGGCTTAGATAATTTTCATTTTACTATGATAGGCTAGTTATTTTACATGTGATCGATATTTACATTTTAGAGTTTTTTAACATCATAAATTCGAAATCTATTTCAATATGTCAAGAAATCAACATGCTTTTAGTTTCGTTAGACAACGGCCTAGTTAGTTGAATAGATTGAACTAAGTGTCTACTTAAGTTTGTTATTAAGCTACTATTAGTCAAACTAAACCCTCAAACAATGGTGATTTCTCGTGACCTGTTCCTTCTTTCTCATGTTCGTCATTAAAATTAGTACATAAGACACCTCCTACGTAAAATTTTACATACTCCTTTATGGGACGAGATACGGTGACAACCCCTAAAGGGTTGTAAGATTGACAACCAAGGGTATTTTGGGTATGAAAAAAGGAATATATTAATTACCTTTTTGTATTAATCAAATTGGGAATTAAAAACCCATATTAAATACAATTTTTTTTTAAATTTAAATCCTATACATTAATATCTCTACCTATCTCTCTCTTCCTCTCTCCTGCGGCCACTCCGCTTCGATGGAGAGACTTTTTCTCCGGCGAATTCTCTCCGGCAGACTCCCTCCAGCAACCTGAAAAAATGTACCAGTGCGTTAAAAAGTGTACCAATCCATTAGTCTACTGGTAATTAATATACCAGTGTTAGTGGCGTTAAAAAATATATCAGTGCTAGTGGTATGCTACCAGTGCTAGTGGTACGCTACCAGTACTAGTGGTACGCTACCATTAGCAGTACCAGTACCACTGGTAGCGGTACCATTAGAAGTACCAGTACCACTGGTAGCGGCACCATTGCCACTGGTAGCGGTACCATAGCCACTAGAGACTAGCACAAAAAAAATCAGATATGAAATATGAAAAATCACAAATCTGAAAAAAAATCAGGGATGACGAAAGGGGGAGGCAGGGGAGGGGCGGTGACCTCGTGGCGACGGTGGTGGTGGGAGACAGAGGGCGGCGAGAGGGTTGCGACGGGGAGGGGTGATGGCGCTACGGTGGAGGGAGGAGGAGGCCGCGATGGCTGCGGGGCGAGGGACGTGACAATGCTGGGAGGCGGAGGGCGCGACAACGGGAGGGCTGCAGCAGTGATGAGAGGCGAAGGGCGTGGCGGGTCGGCAGGACGACTGCGACGACGGTGTTGGCAGCCGATAGAGAGAGAGGGAAGAGATGGGAGGAAGAAGAAGAAGAATTGGAAGAAGAAAGATGGTGAGAGAGAGAGAAAAGAGAGAACATGGGGTTTTATGTATTAATAGGCGTAATAATCTAGTGCGGTCAATTTTTTTTCGTCCAAAAATACCCTTAATCCAATCTGTACCATTGATTTGGAAAAAAAAGAGACAAGAGAGAGAATGGATTCTATGGTTATAAAATGAGTTGTCAATCTCACAACCCCTAATGTGGTTGTCACCGTATCTCATCCCACTCCTTTATGATGCCATTTTTCCCGTCATTCATCACGTATCTCTCACTCGTTCCTTACAAACCTCCAACATTTATATTCAGAAATATGAGAGCATTTAAGAACTAATCTCTCATTTTAGTAACCATGAGAATGAGATGGTTTAGATTTTTGAACATTAAGCACAATACTAAGACTTGTTCTATCGAAAAGAAAATCAAAAGCATAGTGCAAAGATTTAAAACTTAGAATGTCATCATCCCAATTTAATCCTTAAAACCAAAAAAGCTAAAGCGAAAGAAGAAGAAGAAAAGTAAACAAAACGTTTTCGGCCGTCTTTTTTCCCGTTATACCGAGAGGCGCTCGCTCTCCGTAGGGTACAACAATACAATAGACTGCCACTCACTGTCACCAGTCACCACCATCATTTCCTGCCTTTTCCAAACGCTCCCTTCCGCTCTCTGTCTTCTTCCGTTGACGTCCTCCCCTGTTCAACACTGCAATCCAAGCTACACAAAACAGAGGAAGGGTCAACAGGAATTCTAATACTTCACCCAGCAGCAGCTCCACCTGTTTCTCATCTTCCTTCCCCGAGTTGGCGCGGCCGTGGAGTGGGGTCGGAGAATTTTGGGTCCGTTTCTGGTTGGAGCGATTTGATTTTCCCGGCTTGTGGGCGGCAAAAGGGGTAAGTCATTGATTTCGACTTACCCATTTTTCAAAATTCTTCGAAAAGGGGTAAATGAGAGGAATTAAATACACCCCTCCTGTGATTAATGCCGCGTGCTTAAATGGATTTTTGTGCGGGTCGGTTTCGCCTTGATTTGGATTTTCTTCTTCTTGAATTCTTGGCTGTTTAATGGCGTCTCTGGTTGTTGTTGTTGGCTTCTTCTGGGTGTAGACAGAGAAGAAACAGGAGGAAGAAGCGTTTTGTGTATTGGGTTGTCTTTTTGGACCGTTGGAGCCAAAACGCGGGTGCTCTCTCAAGGTAAAGTTTGGATTCTACGTTTCTCTTCTTTCTTTTTGCTTTCTCTGTTTCTTCGTTTTGGTGGATAATAACGTTTTTTCTTCTTTGATCTGACTTCAGTTTCTTTCTCTCTGAATTCTCGTTTTTCTTTGATTTTCTTGGCAACCAAATGAGCTGGGGTTCAATTGGGGTTTATCAGCTCAAATCTACTTGATGCATTGGACATAATTGGAATATATTCTGATTTCATATACTGGAAAAATCGGTTTAGGTTTTCATTGGTTGCTCTCGTTTCTCAAAGATTACTCTGCTGCAGCAATATGACGAATTAGATGAATCGGGGTAGTTTTTTTTCTTTTGTTTCGTCCCCTTTTCTGATGCTCTGACTCTAGGGTTTTTCTGGATCAGAATTAGCTAGTGGAGTTGGTGGTAGTATCTTTAAAGATCGAGCTGAATGAGATTGAATCAGAAGCCATAGCACATGGTTCTGTAATTAACTGATTATTTAACTGAGCGAGCCGCTGAACTCTGAAGTGTGCACATGGGTTTTCCCCCTTGTGTTGATAATCCAGCTTCCCTTGTGCCCAATTGATCTGTGTCCCTTTTTTTTCCCATTGTTTGTATCGGTTGATGTCTTCATGATATGTTTATCTTTGAAGCTGTGGAGTTTGGTTAGGAATCTCATAACTGAACATTTGGCTATTTTCAGAAACTGTTGCAAAGGCCAGAGTGGAAGCTGCATTGTTCTCATTGTTGAGTATATTTAGATGAAGAAGCTATTCTTTTTCCGGTCTTCCCCTAATGACGGAAGCAGCAATGCTGGGTCTCCATCATCAAGGAAGGAGAATCGACCTGAAAGTGGGCTCATAATAGATCACGTTGGTGACAAGCCTGGAAGCAATTTCAGGAGCCCCAAGAGCTTGTTTTCTAACTCAAAGAAGCAAGTTCATGATAGCCAAAGTCCCAGTTCCAATCCCGGTCTTAGAAAGAGTCGCTCTTATTCATCTGGAGCTTTTCTACTTGATGATGATGGGCAGTCACACTTCTCAGTTCCAGTCAATCGAAGTAAATCTCCTAGCAGTTATTCTTCTCGGTGAGGCAACTGTCAGAGTTCATATTTAACAGCTTACCATTTTGTTGCTTTGTGATTTTGTGTAAAAGTTGATGGCGAATTCTGTGAGAAACTGATGGGGTCATTTCTTGTTTTCTGTCAGTAGCAGTAGGCGTGCACTTACCCCTGTGAGGCAAGTTAGACCAGAGCAACATGAAATTCATAGACTGGAGAGGCCTACTTCTGGTTCTACCAGCAGCAGTAATGCTTCAACAAAGGTCTTGGACCGCTATATTGATGGTGAGCAACAACTAGAAAGAAGCAAGCCGAAAAAGGTTTCTTCTCAGAGATACGTTACGTCTGGGAGTGGGAATCCAGGTGGGAAGCTTCCACCTCGAGTCCAATATACTGCCCCTACTTCACCAACACATCCTGTCAGAGATAAACCAAAGTCTCACTCTTTTAGGGAGTCTAAACGAACCCATTCTCGGTTTTCTTGCAATGATGACTGGATGGAGAATGATCTTGGGCACGGATCACCTAGGAGACTTGCAAAGAATGTTATTGAGAGACTCGCCCAAGCTCACGGTTTCCCTAAATCAAATGCCAAGGAGGTTGATTGTGGTGTTCCGATCACAATAGAGGATGTTTATGGTGGATCACTAAGTAGTCGGTTCGACTCGAACCCAGATGCTCAGGCTGGGAAAAGCTCCTTTTTCGAGGGGTCATGTGATGGTACTGTTGACATGTATCACGGAGATGATGAGTACTTGGGCTACCGGCAAGATGTCCATCAAGGAGATGATTTTAGGGATATAAAGTCTGTCAAAGCTGATCCGGATCCTGTTGATATGGAGCTGGAAAGAAGATCAAAAGAAGCTGAGGAGAGGGTTGTTGTTCTATCCGAAGAACTTGAGCAGGAAGGCTTTCTCCAGGATCGGGGTTTTGATAGTTCATCATTCGTCCATTTTGTTAGAAACCTAATGGAGGACAGGGTAAGCATGGCAATCGAGATCTCAGGGCTTCTCAAATCTCAGATTGTGGAGAGGGATTCTGGAAAGGAAGCACTTAGGCTGGCAAAGGCAGATCTGGAGTCACGCAGTCTAAGACTGGAGAAGGAAAAGAATGAGCTGCAGTCAGCATTGGAGAAAGAGTTAGACAGGAGGTCAAATGACTGGTCATCAAAACTTGAGAAATGCCAGTTAGAGGAGCACAGACTGCGTGAGAGGGTCAGAGAGCTTGCAGAGCAAAATGTGTCTCTCCAGAGGGAAGTCTCTGCTTTTAGTCAAAGGGAGACTGAAAGCAAAAATGTGATGACTTATTCAGAGCAACAAGTTAGGCAGCTGACTTCAAGTGTGCAGGAGTTGACCCAGGAAAATGAGCACTTACAGCAAACCTTATCTGAGTTGCAGGAGAAGTACACAGCGGCTAGACAGGATTTAAATTGTATCAGGAGAAATTTTGAAGCAAGGGATAAGGAGTGCAAGGAGCTACAAAAGTCAACTACAAGATTGTTGAGGACTTGCAGTGAACAGGAGAAGACAATCGTTGGATTGAGGGATGAATTCGGTGCTGAAATAGAGAATCAGCAGTCAGTGGACAAATTTGATAAGCACGTGACAAAGATTCGAATGGAACAAGTGAGGTTGACTGGAGTAGAGCTGTCACTTAGAAGGGAAGTGGAATCTCACAGAAATGAAGTCGACTCTCTTCGACATGAGAATATGAATCTACTGAATCGATTGAAGGGCAGTGGGAATGAGATTTATGCAGCGACTCTCAAACTAGATCAAGAGATGCAGACCCGTGTATGTTGTCTGCAAAACCAGGGATTATCTCTGCTGAAGGAGAGCACCCAATTGTGTTCCAAGTTGTTGGAGCAAATCAAAGGGAATGCAGGGGAATGTCTAGAAACAGCACATCGGATGGAGTTTATCAGAAACGGTTTAGACGGGCATTTCCTTGTTGAATCCGATGTCAAAGTTCAGGGCTTTAAGCGTGGAATAGAGAGCCTAACAAGAGGTTTGCAGTCTGTTTCATCTATACTGCAGGAAAAGTCAAATCCTGTTGCTCCATTGTATCAGCAGCCAAATCATCCAACATCAGAGGTAAGCTTTTGGTAAATGTGCGATGAAATTGTAGGTAAAATTATGTCTTTCATTAAGTAGAAGTTGCAAGCAAGCAAGATTTGAAGCTTTGTTCTTTGTCCCTGTAGGATACATTGAAGTTTGAACTAAAAGCTGAGGCTTTGCTTACGAGTCTGCTAAGGGAGAAGCTTTGTGCTAAAGAGATGGAAGTTGAGCAATTGCAAGCTGAGATAGCAGCAGCTGTGAGAGGCAATGACATCCTCCGATATGAAGTCCAGAATGCCATGGATAACCTATCATGTGTCACCCACCAGTTGAAAGATTTTGAGCTTCAGGTAAATTCTAATATTGCCAATTTACTGGGGAGACCGTTTACAAGAACCCATATATGAAGCTTGATTCCCAACCCCTACAAATTATTTAACATTCCCTGGTTCTGTTTTTCCCCGCTTTCTTTTCCCGAAGATGTCAAAGAAGGACGAAAACATGAGTCAGCTTCAGCATGATCTCCAAGAATCCATGAAGGAGCTGTCGTTGGCGAAGGGGATACTGCCTAAAGTGACACAGGAGAGAGATATAATGTGGGAGGAAGTAAAGCAGTACAACGAGAAGAACATGCTGTTGAACTCGGAGGTAGGTTTGCTGAAGAAGAAGCTTGAGGCTCTCGACGAAGACGTGCTGGTGAAGGAAGGTCAGATCACGATACTGAAAGACAGCTTGAGGAAGAAGAGATCCTTCGACCTTCTCGCGGATCCTGATTCTGCAGCAGAGTTCTTGTTGGAGTAGTCGAATTGGGCTTTCGTTGTTAGGAGTAGTGTACAGGGGAGACTGTATACTTACAGTATACTTGAGTGTGAAGTTAGTTGGTTCCTTGGTTTAGTCTGCTTCTTTTTCGTCGATGCATGGTCTCTTTGCTGTTATCTTTTTCACCAAGAATTGTATGTAGTGGTTTGGTTTTCTCTTCTCTGTTACATAGTCTTATACAGGATTTCTCAGGGCACTGGAAAATTACATCGTGTTTCAGTAAATTTTGTTCTTGTGATTTCAACAGATAAAATCTAACTGGCCATGTCCATATATTGACATTTTTACTGCTATGCTTGTTCATGACTTCATTAAGAAAGCGTTACATTACACATCCGAATGAACCATTCAAGTGCAAGATCACATCGAAATTGTAAAGAGTACAGGAGAAAACATCCCAAACGATAGCGATGATCTTATTTTTCCACGGCAACCGAGCAAGCAGATCCCTTCAGTCTTTTCCGGGTCAAGACTCGAGAATTACACAAGTGTTTGTAAATGAATCATAGAGATGAAGACTTCCAGAATTCAATGGGCTGGCGTTGCTGCACAAGGAAATTTGCATCACGTTACAATAGGAAGTCGAGTATTGGAAAGCTCGCCTTCAAAATTATTATTTGGTGAACCAGAGTTACCTTGGCAATTGGTAGCTTTGTTCTCACTGAATCGATAAATGAGAAATCAATATCAGCCACAGTAATGCCTGTCGATGTTCGATCTGCCAAGAATAACCCAGAAGATGGATCAGACATCAACTCAGAATCACAGTATCGTACAACCATAATGCACAAAGATTCACTTATTGCAAGAAGATTGCATACTAGAGTATTCACCTGGCAAGCGACCAACTACCGTGCCCCAAGGATCAATTATCAATGTCTCGCCGTGGCTCTCTCTTTTCTCATTGTGCTGCCCAGCCTGTGCTGAAGCTATTACCTGATTCCAAAACTCGTCATAAAAAGTAGTACATCATGAGAAGAAAACAAAACATTCTTTATGCTAGTTCAGCTGTAGTGTCGTCCTCTGAAGTTCTTTGGCTTGCTAACAGAGAAGGAGGAGAAAAAGTGGAATGAAGGATAAGAGTGAAGTTGTGTGGGTTGAGAGCAAATTCCACCAATTTCAACATCCCACCTATTTCAAGATGAATCAAGATAACAATAATCCAGACAGACATCAAAGACAAACTATGTATGTAAAAGACATCGAATCAATGAAAACATTTATGTTTAAGCTGAGCTGAAAGGAATCTAATTAATGATAAGATGCAGAAAACATAAATGTTCAGTTTGTAAAGGAAACAAGTGTCGTACATAGCATTGCGTCTCAATTGCACGAGCACGAAGCAGAATCTCCCAGTGCGCCTCACCGGTAATTTTGGTAAAAGCCGAAGGCACCAACATAATCTGCAGATGATGAATGAAGAACTTTATAATTGTACACAAGTAATGAAGTTTCGGATTAAGTCTCAAGTCTTTAATTAAGATTAAGTTCAGTACCTGAGCTCCATGTTGGAACCGGAGCTGCTGATAAAGTTCAGGGAATCTCAAATCATAGCACACCGTCAAACCCAATCGCCCAACAGGGCTGTCAACTGCAACTACATCCTTTCCTGGAAATAAGGATGATAAAAGAAAAGTGGTCATTCCTGAAAGACTTAATAACTCATAGGGAATGATTGTCTATACCGAGAACAACGATATTGACTAACTGAAAGCCACAAAGTGCTTAACACCGCCAAAGCAAATAAGGTAAATGAGAAAATTAAATCTGTCGGAGGCGTTTGCCTATAGCTTAGACCAAAACTCTATTTTTTCATGGATAAGTACATTTTTAAGCAACCTATAATGAAATGAGAAACACACAACAAGGTCACACTATATACATTATCTTTCAAGGATAAAGTAACATAGCGAAAAAGGTTACCAGCTTCTGTGAAGCTGCTTTCCTTGTACACCCTTCCACCAGGAACATCCACATCAAACCTTAAAGAACAAGGAAACATTTCTTAAACTCTTACGCATGAACAAGTAGTTCAGAGTCAGCAAGAAAATTTTGACAGGAATCGAGTAAAGTTTAGACTTCATGGAGGAGGGATGGTAAAAAACCAACCTGAACACAAATTCTAAAAAGAAGAATGACTCTACTTTGAATAGGCTTGCACAGTTTCTATAAAAGAAAGGAGATAACTGATGTATTCTGTTTCATCATCTAGATCGTCATTTATTTCATTCTTCAACCACAGACTGGATAAACCAAGTCAAGATGTCAATTGCAAGTTAAAACTCATTAAATTAGGCAACTCCTTCAGGGCTAATCTTCATCAATATATCCCTTTATCAAATGCCTCGTTTAAGTTTCTAACTAAATGCCCGAACCGCATTACCAAACCTACCAGGTTACCGCCAACTTATATCTTCATGAAATTACTAATACCAGCTTTATAATGCATCAACATAGTAAAATAAATGGCTTCCTCTAAGAGCAATTAATGAAGTTGAATTTATTTCCTGATTAAAATAATGGTAGGAAAGTAAAGAATGCTAAATAAAAATGTTAATATATGAAGGACAAGGGAGCTAGATTTGATCTGCTAAACTGTAAGTAAGAGCTTCTTACAGGTGTATCTTCCGGTACGTGCTTCTGATATTCCCACCATCATCGACAATTACATGGGTATTGCACAAGTGTGCATCATCACATCCCCTTTCTTGGAAACCTCCCAGCGATAGCCAGATTCCCGATTCCCTGAAGAACCAAGCAAAAGTCAGAAGCTAATTAGTCTTGGTAACTGAAAATATGAAACTATGCCAATCTGCTAGCGTCCCATAAGAAGCCAAAAAAACAGCAATTCATATCACCTCGCCAAAGAGCAATACTGTTTCATAATGGGTCCATCAAGAGGCTCTGCAACCTTCACACTGTCCCCATCCCTAGCCCCAATATATGAGAAACTTTCAGGTAAGCACAGCAATTTTGCCCCAGCAGACGCTGCTTCCTTGAGAAACAATGAATTTCAAAACTTAATTAAGTGAGACACCAACTTCCGAGAAAATGTAAATTGTAATGTAGTACTCCCGGCGTTCCAACCAAAACGGACTATACACGTTCAGAATATGGTTGGCTTTTTTATCCCCCAAATGTACCTAGCTGAAACTTCATTTCTGGTTCTATCTATCTACAGAGTTCTTGTCTACCAATTAACCAATTTGGCAACGGCCGTCCAGAATTACAAGGACTTCTGGGTGGAAAGCTGAATTACTGCCATTGAGAAACAAGTGAAATTCTAAACCCTAAAACAAAGCATTTCCATAAATTTTCCATGAAATTCGTTAGCGTCACCGAACGAGGAATCGGAAGATTCGAGCTCTACGCCGAATCAGAAATCAGAAAAGAAGCGCAGCAAAATTTTGATGAAAAGCGATCGAAAAGAGAGGAGGCAGGCGGAGAGACGCACTTTGACGAGGCGAGAACAGGTGGCGAAGTTGGCAGCGAGGTCGTTGACGGAAGTCATTTGAGCGGCGGCGACTCGGACTGAGTTCGACGCCATGGCTGCTGCTGCTGCTTGCTCGCCGGAGAGGGGAAAAGCACGTAAGTTAACGGTCAACGATCGGGAAGGCACGTCGACGGTGATCGGAAGTTTCCTCGGGATGACTGGCGGGGGAGTGAGGTGGAAGCAGAGTGGCATATCGTTTCCATCGGGAATCGCCGATTGCTGACTGTGTTTTAAACCAAGAAGCTGCTGTTTACTTTCGTTTTAGTCCACATATTTATCCAGTTTGTATTGTGTGATCCTCAATCTTGTTATTCCAAAGCATTTTAGGTTTTACGGCTAAGCAAGTGATAAATTTTGAGTTTTTCCACCCTTACAAGTGGAACGATGAGTGTGAATCAATAAAATTGGCTAGAGCGCCCCGTAGCACTCATCTTTGAACACACAAAAAAAAAAAGACATTTCGTCACAGGCACATAAAGCAGGAAATTCACCTATTAGAATGAATTATTGGAAACTTTCGAATGATCTCTTCCGCGAGGAATTAACTTATGGTCAAAGTATAAATGGAAAATGAAATAAGAATAATTTTTTCCCCGATTTGAATTAATTAACCTTTTATTTACTATATAAGGGAGGGAAGAAAGGTATATGAACAAAGATTGGATATAAAAAAAAAGTGGGATTTGTTACTTTGTTATGATGATAAAAGTCTTGGTTTGTTATGATGTTAAAAGTGTTGGTTTGCATTAACAAAAAAAATTGATCCTTTTTATCGTGACCAAATGGTCCTATTCCTTAAAACCAAAAAAGTCGAATCTTCCTAAAAATTGAAATAAATTAGGCTGGAAAAATATTATAAAAAAAAAAATAGGCTGGAAAAAGTCAAAACCAATAGTGACAGTACGACATTAAAGAAAAAATAAAAAGTCACTTTTTAGTTTTCAACAAAAAAGCAAAAATAAAAAAAAGTCTAGAGTCAAGAGAAGAGATAGCTCTTATCGTATCAGAGCCAGCTCAAATTATTCAAATCTCTCTCTCTCTCTCTCTTTCTCTTTCTCTCTCTCCCTATTTCTATATCTGCTTCTTTTGGGAAATTTGCTTTCTTGGTTTCTCTTCAACTCTCACCCTTCATTTCTTCGTCTTCTCCGTCTCTCTCTGGTACCGTGAATCCGTTGGTCTCGGTTGTCCTGAATCTATTCTACCATTTGCTATTAATCCTAACGAAAATCGAATTTGTTGTATTCCCTTGTTGTTTCTTCCTTGGTGGATTGCTCTCCCCCTTTCCCCTTCCCCCCTTTGCCCTCTGTTTCAAGGGAAGGAAAAGGGATTCTGAAATTCTCGCCCCACCTCCTCCCTTTTCTCGCCTTTGGGCTGCTCTTGTTTCTGAGAATGGTGGGTGCAAATGCCATAAAATCGCAGAGCTCCTCAAGGGTGGCTTTGGGTCGTCTCTGAAAGAGGTAAAAAAATCGCGTGCTCTGTTTTTTCCGGCTTCAATTTCCAGATTCAAGGGGGTGCCTGCATTTGTGTTGGAATCTTCTGATGATTTGTTTATGTAATAATGTCATTTGGGTTTTCAATTTTGTGTATCATTTTAAATTTTGATTGATTCGCCCACTTCCATCTTTCCTCGCTACGAAAGAACAAATCTTTACTCGAGATGGGTTTTCTTTTCTGCAGTTCTATTGATTGGCGGTGTTTGCATCCATCATTCACGGGTTTGCCTGCTTTTCTGCGGTTTCATTGCCTGCTTCGTGGGAAATTTGATCCAAGGGACGAACTAGTTAATTTTTGGGTTATGTGAGTGATGGTTTCAACTACACTTCTGAGATTTGTTTCGAGTTGCTGGAGGCCAGTTGTTGACGGAGAATCGATCAAGAGAGTTGGAGATGCAAGTACAGGTCGTGTTGATGGATTGCTGTGGTACAAAGATTTGGGACGACATGTCAATGGGGAATTCTCCATGGCAGTGATTCAAGCAAACAATCTGTTGGAAGATCAGAGCCAACTCGAATCCGGGCCTTTGAGTACGCTTGAATCGGGTCCTCGTGGTACATTTGTGGGAGTCTATGATGGCCATGGAGGCCCAGAAGCTGCCCGATTCGTCAACGAGCGTCTTTTCGAAAATATTAAGAGTATGTTTCTTGACTTTTTTCCCCTCTCTCCCCTTCACAGAGTTCCCTGTATTGACCATCGTACTTGGATTGTCCCGTAACACACAGAGTTTACATCCGAGGGTCGTGGGATGTCTAGCGATGTCATCACCAAGGCGTTCTTGGCTACGGACGAGGAGTTCCTTGGTTTGGTGAAGAGCCAATGGCTAAACAAGCCGCAAATTGCTTCCGTGGGAGCGTGTTGTTTAGTAGGGGTAGTATGTAGCGGACTTCTATACATCGCCAACGCGGGCGATTCTCGGGTGGTATTAGGAAGGATCGAAAAGACGACGACGACGACGACGAAGCAACAGGAGGAAGTGAAGGCCGTTCAGTTATCTTCGGAACACAACGCGAGTGTGGAATCCGTGAGGGAGGAGTTGCGACGGTTGCATCCCGATGATCCTCAGATCGTGGTGCCTAAGCACAATGTTTGGCGTGTCAAGGGGATAATCCAGGTGAGTTCGGAGTAGCAACAACAACTAGCATGGAAGCTTCATTGAGCTAATAAGTTTTCTCTCTTTTCTCTAGGTTTCAAGATCTCTAGGAGATGCTTACTTGAAAAGAGCAGAGTTCAATCGTGAACCTTTACTGGCAAAATTCAGATTATCTCAATCATTTGAAAAGCCAATCTTACTAGCGGAGCCAACAATCCAAGTGCATAAACTAACTCCCGAGGATCAGTTTCTAATATTTGCATCAGACGGCTTGTGGGAGCACCTCACCAATCAAGAAGCAGTCGACATTGTACACAACTCTCATCGCAATGTAGGATCTCTAAACTAAACATCACATAGTGCTTTGTTTAAAGCTTTTACCAAAATAGTAGACTTGAAATCATTTCCCAATTTCGTTGTTTCACAATAAGAAAAAGATGCTTAAAACAAATAGCATTTTGATTGCAGGGTGTGGCAAGGAAGCTCTTAAAGGCGGCACTACAAGAAGCAGCGAAAAAGAGGGAAATGAGATACTCGGATCTGGAAAAGATCGACCGTGGTGTGAGGAGACATTTCCATGACGACATTACAATCATAGTTTTGTTTCTGGATTCAAATACGATAAGCCGCAGCACGTCCAGAAATCCACGTGTCTCGATACGAGGGGGAGGTGTGCCAGCCTGGGTATAGCTCCAATGTTTAGTTCCCGCGAGTTCGACTTACCGTGTATATGCCCCCCTTGGTGTAAGCACATGCATACGTCGTTGGATCGACGTTCAGTAAATTCACAATCACTGTATGCGCGCGTAATGATGATTACTTACAGAACTGTCGCAACTTAGATATGATGGTTGTGAAGCGTACGCGACCAAAACACGTGCTTATGAAACATCAAGAGTTGCAAGCACGCTAATCGAATCGAATTTTCGCAGGCGCGGCGAGGGTTAGGATGGGGGGAGCGCGGGAGATGGGAAGAAACGAGAGGGGTACTATCGAAGAGTACTTAGCACTTGGAGTAAAATAAGATACCCTATTTTGTGCAATTTTCCCTTTTTTATTAACAAGGAGTTGAGGGGGTGTCTCAAGAACCCTTCGATTGTATAGAAAATTCAGAAAAAGGAAGAAATGAAAAAACAAAAACAAAATTGAATTTTCAGTCCACTTCAGTTCGTCGTCATGTGATCAAACCATCAATGAGTTTTTTTCTCCGGCAAATTTACTTGTACTAGCAAAGCCCGCTCGCTTCGCGTCAAGAGGACCATATGAGAAAATAACATGGAAGAATAATAATGTCAAATATTCTGTGAATCTGTCTATGAAAAAATAGATTCATTACAACCGATACAATCTAACACATAAACGATGGCAACGAAACCCTTTTCAAATGAACTATTCTCCTCCGTCGTCTCCCCCATCCAATTCACCCTGCTGAGAGCTGGAAATGAAGGATTCCTCTGCCATGGATAGGGAACTGGATTCTACATTAAATTAAACAACCATTGAAATAGAGAAAGAGACCAGCATGGGGGAAACCAAGAGAGAGAGAGAGAAATAACCTGCAGGTTCTTAGGCAGAGGCCATTATTGCAAACTTTGAACCGGTTAACGCTCTGATAAAGACGACAACGGGCGTTCTGGCTTTAACTGATGGGACAGGGATTATCCATGGTGATGGTCGTCCTTGGAGTCCCCCTAGTTCTGCTAGTTCAAAATGGAATCTGCGACACCTCCGATCGAAGAAATTTCTGACATCACCTCGAAGGACTCAGCGGGAAAGATTGAACCGAAGACCACCTCCAAACGGATTGAAAACGAAGAACAGCTGCAAGAGAGATGAATAGCTTAAAAGAGGAAGGGAAAGCCGATCAGTATGTGATAGGGCAAAAGCGTATAGCTTCAATTCCTATCTTGTAGTAAACCGGAAACTCTGGGTATCGTCTCTCAGGGACTGGTACAACCTTATGATTTATCAATTCTATGGAGCAAACTATAGGTGAAAATGGTTGAATGAGACTAATTATCTAAAAGCAAAATTAACTAATTAAGCAAAGTAAATTGGTCGGGAGAAATTCAATGGAGAAAGCTCTGGGAGGAACACCGGGATTCACTACCTATCCTATCCAGATTAATTCACATATTCCAATCAGTTTAATCCCTATCTCTACAGCCAGGATATCACGAATGTGCTAGCTATCCCTGTCGGGAATTACTACGTACTAAACAATTAAATCAAATTCTACTGTCGTAGCTCAATGACCTAATTATTTAGCCTGAAGATCGATATCCTATTTAAGACCGCATAGCACCTTATTTAATCCACTGTCGCTTCGATAAGTTACTATGTCACATGAAATAGGTTCAGTTATTAGGGTTTCACTGTCGCTAATAACCTAATTAACTACAAATCATTGTATTGGTGGCCAGTCAACACAAAGCATGAAGAAATTTCATGCAATAGAGATTGGAAGAAAAGAATCATGAATCAATCCATCAAATCAAGAAATAGCTACATCCTATGGTGTTTCCCCCAGAAATCGGGGTTTAGTTCATGATGAAATTGAGATAAAACATTAGGGTTTTGTTCATCATGTTCTAAATCAACAAATAACAACTAATTCGGTTTAGAAAATCCAACCAACTAATCGCTCTCGTTGAACTCAGCTCAAGCCTTGGAAAAATTGATCGCCAATTGCCAATCGCCGCTCGCGTCCCAAGCTTGCTGCGCTACTTTTGCTCCGCTTTTCCAAGAGCTCGGCTGCTCAAAGAATTCCGCCAACCACCCAATCAAAAGTTGCCTCCCTCTCGTCCAAATTAATTCCGCCTTTCTTTCAAAAAAACAAAAAAAACCCTCTCCTTGCTGCCGTCCCAAATATTGCTCCTTCTCCACTTCCTTTTGTTTTCTCCAAAATAAAGTTCCTCCTCCCAACAGAGATCCGCCCGCCAATTAATTCCAAAAACCCTCAGTAGAATTTCGTGGCCCAGTAGAAGTTCCTGGCCCAATAGAATTTGGTTCCGTCCCATGCTCCAATTCTCAATTAATCGCCTCCATCAATTGGGCTTTGGCCCAATTACTTGTTGTGGAAGAAACATGGATCCAATTCCTCCCGTCATCTCCTGCTTCGGAAGTTCCAGTGCTGTCATTTTATTTATCTTTTCACCTAAACACACACCAAAACTCCAACACAAAATGGTAATGGTTTTTCAACCATTACGGATTAATTCTCCCTAAAATAGCACCAATCGGCTTAAACATACCATGAGATAGTCACATAAAGCTCACGAATCCGATATATTAAAGCCAATTATCAGTATGAAAGAAGAATGATAAATATGAAACTGCAAAAAAGCTATATTAAAAAAACAAAGGTATCTACCTCCCTCTTATTCACCAATCCATCCACCAAAACAAAAATAGAAAGCAAACTCCAAGAGGCCCATCTTGCTTTTGTGGCAGTAGGAGCAAACCAACAACTGATACAAAGGGCCTATGAAGACTGTTGAAACATGACATAACGTAAAAAAGGAAATAAATGAATCATTATTGTGTACTAGTTTCTTCTTCATGAGCAGTTCAAATGCATGCAACCGATTTACAGAATCTCAACAAAGAGAAACAGTGAGCATATCATTCTTGATTCGTGCACACCACTATTAGATGTTTGAAGCTGAGGGAACCATCAATCTACAGAACCACTCATGTAATGACCAAGTATAACAATGAATCTGCAGCATCATTCACCTCGTCCTAAGTATCAGCTACTACATCAAAGCATACCCAATACGACACGATTCAAATAATAAACACCACGCGTGAAGGTAGCACTACCATTAAGCTAGAGTGGCCTAATCCCGTGTAGTGCCTAGCATATTCCTAATAACCAGACCAAAGTGAAATATTGGAACACACAGCACATGAGAAGTCGGTACAACCATTAAGTTAGTCTATTAAAAGTTGACCAATGAAATTGGATAGCATCAAAAGACTTCAACTTCGTAATAGAATTACATGAGATCAGACAGAGAACACCATTACTTTCCCCATTTGATTAATTCAGCTTCACGATTCACCCCTGCTCAACTAGTGAAACTATAAATCCAGACAATTTGGTGAACTAACAATTCCAGCTAGATGGATCCTGAAAGGCGAACATATTGTCAAACCAGAGGATAGTGATCTATTCTCCACTAGAGACGGCCTGAACCCAAAATACATTTCTCTACCAACCATGACAGTTACAACTAAGTTAATTTTGTTGCAAAGCAACTAACCAATCTGATATAATTTAAAGGCCAGCATGACATTTTGTTTGGCTCCAAAAAAGCAAACAGGTAGCTTGAGAAACATGTCACATTCAATCAATGTTCAAGAGACGAATGGCTAAATCAACCACCAAGAAACTTGCTATACCTTCTTGCTTGTAGTTTGATAATGAATCTGCAACAGCTCAAAATTGTTGTCTAATTATATAGGTTGCTCAATGATGAGCAATTTCTGCAAGACAAACAGAGTTCCAGATCAGGCACAAACGCACATCAAATGCTCTAGACTGATTAACTTTATCCCATACTTGAGTTCCATTTCAGTTTAGCTTAATGCTTTCAATTACAAAAACACAAACAAATGGCAACACCACTGGGAGCAAATGGAATAGAACTTGATTGGCCACTACACTTATGCCACCGCACATGGATTTAGCTTGCAAATACATGACCTGATCCAAAGTAACAGAATTTACATTAGCAAAAACCAGTTCAATCATTAGAACATAAAAATGAACTGTGTAGAACAGCGAACCTGCGCCAAAAATGAGTATACAATGGGTGATAGATTCCCCAGTCCATGCCGCAGTTGTCTCCACTGGTTAGTTGAATAACCGGCACTGAAAGCAAGCTCTGCAGCGTGTTTCAGCAGAGTGACAAAACTGAGCAAATCCACTGACATAAGATTACCAATTCCAGGAGAAGGCGGAGGACTAACCTGGTCAAAGAGATATAAAAGCCAGATATGGTTTGGGAAAGAGATTTTGTTGGAGAAGGGAGACCTCCTCACAAATGGAAATCTGCAAGAGACACAACATATTCAGTACAAAACCAAATCAAAAAGATATAAACAAACCTAAGAAATTTGAAAAACTTACCAAAACAAAGTTCCCCCTTGGCATCATCGTTGCCACTGGCAAAGTTCGGATTGCCGCCGACGGATCCTGTCTTTTCTCCCTTTAATTTTCCAAAAGCAAAACACAGATCAAGATCGCTAAAATATCCCTTTCTCCCTTTCATATTCGAACCGACACCTTCTTCTTCTCTCATACTCCTCCCTCCTTTTCTCGGGTGGAGGTGGAGCTACATGAGAAGAGGTTGAGGTGGAGCTACACAGACAACCCTCAATTAGGCTTCATCAACTTGTTGTCCTGCCTCCTTGGAATAATAATTCGAGACTGGAAACATAGCATAAACAAAGTAGCAGCAAAGTCAAAGATCTGTAGTTTGCAGGCTCACACCAGCTCTAAGCAACCTCTGACATAGATGTTGACAGATGTTTTCACTCCATCCATTTTCTGCTACTTCATTGTCTTATCTTGTATCGTACATATGATCAGATGCATCATCCTGCAGTTGCGATGTTCTCACATCCAAAGCATCCTATTGTAATCATCCCCAAAAATGATAACCTCTCAAATGTGTAAGGAATAAGAGTACAGAGTGACATACGACATGAATCTTTACCAGACTAATGCTTTATCGAGACAGTTGTAATCAATCCTCTGGCAGCATAAGGATCAGAACTCACATTATCATGTTGTTGTTTTTTAATCTCATGGATGGGAAGACATTCTTGAAATGCGGTAGTCTCCTAGGTGACATAGTATTGAGTAATAGATAACTAAAGATTATGGGCTAAAATACCTAGATATATAGTATATGTAATGGCTTGAACTGAATCAGTCAACTGCCGAAAATGTAGGTAGCAAAAAAATGCGAAAGCATAAAGCAAAAAGTTTGTGACTTCACCCTTGCAGCAAGCATCTTCCTTCTCTGCAAACTCCTCTCTTAGGCTTGCTCCTCTACTGTCGCCAAGACAAAACAGAGAAAAAGTGAACAGAAGAACTCAATAAGTAAAAGAATGCAATAACACAAAGAACAACATCATCCATGATGAAAGAATAGTTGCAACTAACACAAGTAAATAGTATCTATAGTTTTCAGAATGCACCGTATGGAAAAATAATAATTATTAAAAGTTGCAACCTTTCCTTCCTTTTTAGCTAAAAATAATTGAAGTTCCACCCAAAAAGAAAATAATTGAACCAAAGGCAAATAATTTGGTACATGAATCTAATAATCAAATATATAGAACAGTCCCGTTCCAAAAAGCCTATAGTAATGGAACTTGGAAGGATACAATGCTGAAATGTATACGAATGACTATTTGAGATGCATATGAAATATGAATAATGAAAGGACTAACCAGTAATCAAAGGCTTTCAGTTTATCGAGTTGTCGGAAACTATTTAAGTCATTGATCCCTTAACCTCATTCATGATTTTTAATTAGGATGGAGTATTACCATCCAAGATGGAGTTTATATTGCAGCATTATGTCTGAGACCTCTCTCTAAATCTCAATTCCTCCATCCATGCTCCATCTTACTGTTGTATTCCACGTACTCCAAAAGCAACGATGATGGTCCTTCTAAAACTAACAAAATTAGTGAAAAAAACAAACTAAATTAGGGGGAAAGTAAAAGCAAAGAGCAAATCTTGATTAGAAAAACCGATAAGCAAGTCAGTTGTCTCGTATGGAACACAACCATAGTAGTTCTCCTTATGCCACTGCCTCTTCTTCCTCTTTGCCTTTTTCGTATCATAGCAAGAATGTTATGACACGCACAGCAAAAGAAGACTCCAAATATAATATTTAGGAACCTCGTGAACATGAACCAAATATGGGCCTAACTCAATCTAATTGAAAAGAAAATCAACAAAATTTGAGCTACCTGGCTTTGCCTTCTTCCTCCTCCGCTAACCCAATCGGTGCCTATTCTTCCCTTTGTATACCGAGCGCTCCTTTTCTGGTTCTTTGGTTTACTTTCTCCGGCCAAAATCTAGTTCTGTCATCATCCCTCCTACAATAAAAGAAGTTTCAGGTTCTAAGGGGTTGTAGCTAAATTACCTAGGAGTCCAACTGAATATATACATAAGTGCCTTCCCCTGCAAATCGACCAAAAAGAATCAATCAATAAGCTCGACAGCTAATATACATGGGTAATCAGATCAATTGATTGCATTATGTAAAAGTCAAGACATAACCACAACAACTCATTCAAGTATATCTAAAAGACAAACTTAAGAGCTTGAACGCAGAAGAAACATGGAACCCAAATCACACATGACATCAAGCATGTAAACGGCCTCATTCCGGTCACCATCGTCATCTGCGTTCATCTTCAAGCTAGAAGGAGATGGAGAGATTTTTTAGGGAAAAATGAGAAGAGAGTGCGCTAAAATGGAAGAGATGAGGAGAGAGATGTTGATTAATGTTGGAGAAGTTAAGAGATAAACTAATAAAAATAAAAAACAACAAAAGAAAAGGAAGAGAGACATCACCTCTTCTTCTTCTCCTCAATTGCTTCTTTCTTTTCTTTCTGAGTGGGTTGTGGGATGTTTTTCCCTGTTTTCCATTTTCTTCTTGGAGCAGAGAGAAGTGAATGGAGATGAGATGAGTGAGATGGAGTAGAAGGGAGATAAAAGAAAGAATAACAAAAAGAAAGCAAAGAATAATTATAAAAAAATCTCTTATTGAAAAGACAACCTAGTTAATAAGTAGATATAAAAAAAACTCTCCTATTGAAAAGACAACCTAGTTAATAAGTAGGGGCTAAAAAATCAGGTTTTACCCCATTGATTTGACACTAAGGAACAGTAAAATTCTTACTTGTTCTTTTGAAGATCTAATCACCGACAAATAATCCAATCACAATAGAGAACTTCTCCCCTTGATAATAAAATGATTTTTTTAATCCTCTCTTGATTTGACACTAAGGAACAGTAAAAACCTTACTTGTTCTTCCCCTATTTTGAGTGGAAAAACTGAAGACTCTCTTGATAATAAAATGATTTTTTTAATTTCCTCTTGATTTGACACTAAGGAACAGTAAAAACTTTACTTGTTGAGATGAGTGAGATGGAGTAGGAGGGAGATAAAAGAAAGAATAACAAAAAGAAAGCAAAGAATAATTATAAAAAACTCTCTTATTGAAAAGACAACCTAGTTAATAAGTAGATATAAAAAAATCTCTTATTGAAAAGACAACATAGTTAATAAGTAGGGGGCTAAAAAATCAGGTTTTGCCCTTATTGATTTGACACTAAGTAACAGTAAAATTCTTACTTGTTCTTTTAAAGATCTAATCACCAACAAATAACCCAATCACAATAGAGAACTTCTCCCCTTGATAATAAAATAATTTTTTTAATCCCCTCTTGATTTGACACTAAGGAACAGTAAAAACCTTACTTGTTCTTCCCCTCTTCTGCGTGGAAAAACTGAAGACTCTCTTGATAATAAAATAATTATTTTAATCCCCTCTTGATTTGACAGTTGACATTAAGGAACCGTAAAAACCTTACTTGTTCTTTTATAGATATAATTGCACGAGATACATGTTCGAAAGGTTCAATAATCAAGAAGTAAAGTCAATACACCTGAACAAGTGAAGATCAAAGACTATCCTCAGAACATGACGAGTCGCCCTATTCACATTCCGACCTAAAATGTTAACTTGATAAGCTCAGACTGACCGACGCTAGCAAAATTTTTTTTATCTCAATCATCATACATAGCTCCACCATTCAATCCCACACGCTCCTAGCACATACATTATCAATACTAAATATACGGCTAAATTACACGTTTGGTCACTCGAATTACATAAATATTTCACGTTTGCCACTCGGATTACTTTTCTTTCTTATTGACCACTAACTTTGCGAATCGTTTCACCATTGGTCACCGACCGTTAGTTTCCGTTAGACACCATTAACTCCGTCAGTTTTTTGATGATGTGGCAAACAGAAATGCGGACTGGACCGTTAACTTAGTGACATGTAATTTTTTTTAATTTTTTTTGACCGCATGGTCAGCCTCACCCAACCCAATTAAAAGTACAATTTCTAAATTCCCTTCCCTCTTCCATCCATCACCGACCTATGGAAATGGAGCCATCACCATCAACTGCCCCGCCAGCTACAACCACCGACGGGTCGAAGCTGCCTCATGTAGTTACGGAGGCCAGATAATCCCACGCCCTTGAACCACTTGTCGCCATCCTCCGCCTCGAAACACCGTTCGCTCTCAGAAGTCGCGTCTTTCGATTTGGGGAATTGGGAATCCGGGTCAGAGAGAAAGAGGGGCGAAGACGACGACTCATTTTCAATCTCACGCCCTTCCTCCACCGCCCTCAATTTCAATCTCAACCACGACGACTCATCCCCCTCCACAGTAGACGACGAATTGAACGCGGAAAAAAGGGGTGATGATGATAGAAAAGTAAGGGATGTTTGAGAAGTCATCGACTCCATCCGATGTGGGGAAGCTGAACAGGCCGGTGAAACCGAAGCAGCACGCGAAATCTCTCCACAGAGTTTGTTACCCTTGAAGTTGGCATGGCTTAGCTTCTTAACCGCTAGCAAGCTACTCGAGATTTTGCTGGTAGGGATTTGGCCGGATAGCAAGTTGTGGCTGGGGTCGATAGACTGTGCCAATGTAGGACTGGGTGATTTAGGGATGAAGATGGTTCCGGTAAGGGAATTTCGAGAGGAGCTGGAGGTTTGGAGGGTCCACAATGAAGGAGGGATTGAGCCATCGAGGCGATTTCCGGCTAGGGAGATGGAAGCGAGACGGATGCTGCATAAGCTCGGATGGATGGGGCCTGCAAGGGAAGATGGCTTCACATAAGGCGGCAGCGGCTGTGGGGGAGATGGCGGGATCCCCAACACCGGCTTCAATTGCGAGATCCACAACTAGCGGTAACGCTCCCGGATTTGGCAGAGGTGAGCTTGATGTTGTTGCCCTCGATCAAGACGGCGACGGAGTGACGCTTCCTAGACGAAGAACATAGGAAGGTTGAGAGGAGGTCTTGAGGGTTTGGAGATTTCTTTCAGATGATTCGAACGGCGGCGAGTGGAGGAGAAGAAGGAGAAGTGGAAGGGTAAGACGAAAGAGGGGATGAGAAGATTGTGATTTAATTTTCTTTTTCTTTTTAGCTCTTAAGAAAATGTCGAAAAATTAAATATTAAGTTTTGGTCAATTGGATTGGATGAGGCTGACTAGGCGGTCAATTTGTATGACTCAGCCTTTTTGTGAGCCCACTCAGTAGTTCTGTTTGCCACATCATCAAAAAGTTGACGGAGTTAACGGAATCTGACGGAGATTAACGGCCGGTGACTAACGGTGAAACAATTCGTAAATTTAGTGACAAATAAGAAAGAAAAGTAATTCAGGTGGCAAACGTGAAAAATTTATATAATTTGAGTGACCAAACATGTAATTTAACCCTAAATATACTATTCAATGAGTATTAGAGTTAACAGCTTACTATCCTCACATTTTTTTTTTTTTTTTGAAAACGGAAAACTATCCTCACAAGTAACATCACTAACTACACTATTTCCCTATCCTCACAAGAATTTAATGCAGGCACGTGACAATAGCCAAAAGCACGGTTTAACGCAAATAGGGATGACAATTTCGACCTGACCCGATTTCCTCGACCTGTTTGATTTGTTTTGGGTAGGTCAAACCCGCCCCGTAGGCGGGACGGTGCGGGCATGGGTTCCTCTCATCGATTCGACCTGTCCTGACCCGCTCCATTCTCGACCCGTTCTTGCCTATATTACATATAATATTAGTCAAATTACTTAGGATTTTCCTCTTATTACATTATATTTTAGCTATAATAAAGTTGTGAATAAGTGAAAACCTCAATTTCTTCAAAAATTTAACTACATTTTATCATATTATGTAGGGGTGGCTAAACGGTCCGGTCCGGTTAAATTGGACCAAATTGATCCGGTCCCAGTCCGGTTTTTTCGGGAATATAAGGACCAAAGATTGGATTGGATATAGCCTGGTCTTGACCCGGTCCGGTCCCAAATTTTATCTTGATTTTAGGTGTTGGGAGTCTCTTATCTGGTCTTTATCCGGTTTTTTACCTCAAATCTAAGCCCGAATATGAGATTGCATTGTTTGCTATCTAGTCCCAGTTCGGTCCCGATCCGGGTTATACGGTCCGGTTTCGGGTAAAACCAAACAGTCCGGGACCAAATAGGCAGCCCTAATATTATGGTTTCTTTCTTGGTCTTTTAATGAAGATAGCGAATGTTTTTAATGTTTTTCGCATAAATTACATACCCAATAGGTCGACCTGCCCCGACCCGCGCCCCGTGATAAATTACCCAACCTGTATCCGATCTGCCATAGGACGAGTATGGGTATTGAGATACCCTCCCCAGACCTGCCACGTTGCCATTCCTAAACGCAAACGATTAGCCATTGCTCAAGCCTCAAGTCATCTTGGTTTATCTACGTATGTTTTGTTCTGAATCGACGAAAGCACGAAGCAGGCCCGAAAATGGCGACATTTCCCCTGAACGGTTCCTCTGTCTCTGCTTCCAATACTGCCTTGTCTCTCAATCTAAAACCCTCCTCGCACCAGAAACCTTCAGTACTGGTTCCGACTACCATCATTCCATCTCGCCGCCGGCGGTCGCTTCTTCCAGCACTTGGCTTAAACAACGACTTGGGCAACAAATTCCGACGAGACAGAGTCTCACACATCACATCAGCAACAATGGCTGCCGGGTAAGTAAATTGTTCCCCAACCCCGTTTCTCATCGACCCACATGAAAATAAAGGATCCCCCCAATTTGGGTATTCGTCTGGAGAGCTTTACTTAAACTCCAATTGGCAATTGGGGAATTTGTATCTGCAAATTTGACTCTTTTGCTTTTTGCTAAATCTCAGTGTTGGAGAGATTCTGCCACCGCCTCTTACATCTGCTTCGAACCTTCCTGCAATCTTTGACGGCACAAGTAGGTTGTATTTGTCGTATACATGCCCATATGCGCAGCGTGTGTGGATTACTCGAAACTGTAAGGTTTGTGTTTGTCTCTCTTTCCATGGTTTCTTTCTTTGGATTTTAAAACTTCGATCCAGTGCCCATTTGGTTATTCTCTGAGAGCAGGGGTTGCAGGAAGAGATCAAGTTAGTTCCTCTTGATCTCAAAGACAGGCCTTCTTGGTACAAGGAGAAAGTCTACCCTCCTAACAAGGTGGTGTCATAAATCAAACCACATTGATGCATGATGCTATCTTCCTGCACTTTGTCATGCATGTCTGCCTTTTTGGTGTGGCAAGAAATGCAGGTTCCTGCATTGGAACACAACAATGAAGTGATAGGAGAGTCGCTCGATTTGATGAAATACATCGACGCTCAATTTCATGGACCTCAACTGCTCCCTCAAGTATGAGATTGGCTCCTACATTCTCCTTCCATTTGATCAACTAGCATGACTAATGCATTGCATGAAATTCAGGATCCTGCGAGAAGGGAATTTGCAGAAGAGCTGTTCTCCAATGCCGGGTCATTTCATAAGGCTGTGAGCTCCACACTTAAAGGAGAAGGAGCTGAAGCAGGTGACTGAATGTTGAGTTTGATGCTGGTGGTGCTTCCTCGTTTCGCTCTTTGCTGCTTTCTTTCGCATGTTTGCCATTTGTATCAGTTGTACTTCACAATGAGGGCATCTCTCTCTCTTTGACAGTCACAGAAGCCGCTTTTGATGACATAGAAGCAGCTCTTTCCAAGTTTGATGATGGACCGTTCTTCCTTTGCCAGTTCAGTCTGGTAAATTGGGATATAAAAACAAGGTTGAAACTTGATTGGGATTCTGTGTTCAGCAAGAGTTGAAATTTCTTCATTGTTGGGTGCAGGCAGATATAGCTTATGCACCATTCATGGAAAGATATCAGCCAGTTTTGCTAGACATGAGAAACTATGATATCACTGCCAAAAGGCCTAAACTTGCTACTTGGATACAGGTATGGTATGCAGCTCTGTTCGCCTTCTGTCAGGAGAAGGGCTCTTTCAGCTTTGAATTTGAATGACAAGAATGCCAACACTTTCCCCCTAATTTTCGCGAGGGAATCGGCAGTCATCCACATGTTTATGCTTTTGTATACAGGAGATGAGCAAAATTGAGGGCTACAACCAAACTCGGCGCAATCCAAAGGAGCATGTCGAGAACTACAAGAAACGCTTTGCAGTAATACTATTTTGCCCAACTCATGTGAGCAATAGTTTTATATTTTGTAACTCTACTTAGTTGATCTTGATCCTCTCTCTTGCCTCATTTTGCAGGGAAAGGTCCAAGTCTAATTGAGGAATGACAACAGTAGCTAGACTGTTAATTTCAGTTGGCAATGATAATGTTACCAACAGGCAGACATCAACATAAGCAAATACAACGGATAAAAAAATATCGATCCGATGTTTATATGTCGTGTATGTTCTATTGCCACAAAATGCAACAATTACAAATGAAATCTTATGCCACTGTTATTGCATTAATGCTGTATAAGAACTCAAGCTTCACCCAAACAAGTCTCTGTGTTTTATTGCCTACTTAAGAAAAACAGAAGATTGGTGGTTTCATCACAGCTCATCTTATCGGTGCACATAGGTTCCTGCCGAGGTCCAAACTCGTAGACCAGCATTGTGGAAGCGAAGCTTCAACCTTAATCCACTGCCGACCAAAATCCGGCTAATATCTAAAGCAGAGAAAGGCTATTGTCCAAATATATATATGTAGCATATACATTGGAATCTCATACTGTTAAGATCTGTTGCTTCCCAAACACCAGCAAAAGCTCGACAACCACGTCCAGGGAGAGATGGCTTCACCTTTAAAAGGGTTCGAGATGAGCCGAGACTTCTCTCCTGTACAACAGCTTTCCTCTTAATCCACAGTTACTAGCAAGAATCGATAGTCACGACGAGGACTATGTCCAAAGCCATGCAGGTCGGAGCAAAGTCAAGCTAGCTACTTGAGCAGTACTTTCCATATCTTACTCATGTACACAGCTAAAGAATATACTGAGAGACCTGCTGAAATATAAAGCAACCCAACACCAGAAGCTACAAATGCCCCAAGGCCTCCAACCCTGCAAAATCAGAACCAAACAACTCTTAACGACTCATAAACAGCAACTATTATCAGATGTACTGAGAATGACCACGAATTGAAGAAACCCTTATGAGGCACAAGCACAGAATGACCAACCCTCCATCTCGGGTAGCAAGGAGTATGGTTAACGCAGTCATCTGTGTAGCAGTTTTCCATTTCCCCAAGTTATTTACAGCAACAGCCTGAAACAAACATGTTTTAAGATTTAACAAGCACGCAAAGCATTATGGCAAATGGTAGAGGGAGGGAACAGCAAAAGTATACATAACAACCAGAAAACAACAGAAGAGACAAACAAACCTCTAGAAGCTTCGTATCTTGCGAAGCAGCCCATTCTCTGACTGCTGACATTGTTATCTACAAATATAGTTGTAAACAGAAGGGCAAGATCATTAACAAGCCCAAATCCCTTGAGAATTTACAGAATATAGATGGACAGAAAATAAGGGGGTAAATCAAACAATGTTCATCAAGCATCAACCAAAGAACAGTCAAGCATATACATCCTCAATAGCCAAAACAAAGAACCATCTTGAGGGAGAAGAAAGAAAGGCTGTGGATCCATGTTTGTAGGTAAATGGCATAAGTTGTTTACCTCGCGACCAATAATAGCAATAGCAGGCACAGTGAGTAGCCAGGGCACTGGTCCAAACATTGGAACTTCCAAAGGTCTTGTACACAAGAGGACCAAGGTAGCAGCAACCATAAGCTGTGGTAATGAACACACAAATTCAAATAAGAACACCTCTTAACGAAGCAAATCCACCCTATTCAGCCAAGTCAGAAATATATCCAGAGGTTGCAAGGAAAAACTGCCAACCTTGTCAGCTACAGGATCCAAAAATGCACCGAATGCAGACCCTAACCTCATCTGAAAGAGATTAAAAAGCAATTAACTACCCTTCAATATAAAACCTCTGGCAAACTCAATTAGGACTCCATCATTTCACCATCAACCCAAATGTTACCTTTCGTGCAAGGTACCCATCAAGCCAATCAGTGACTGCCGCTGCAAGAAAGATACTAGTTGTCGCCGTTCTTCCCAACCAAGTGTCAACGTAAAAGGCTGGAGAACAAAAAACTGAGAGTTAGTTCCCTGAATTGTGAATGCCATTCAATGAAGCTTCAGGCTTTGGGACGCCAGCAATGTTGAAACCTTTCCCAGAAAGCAAGGGAAGGTAACAAGCTTCACTTTTAACGATCAACTTGACACAGAAAAATCAAACCCATCACAACACTAAATTTAACATATGAGCCCAACAAAGAAAGGCGAGGAGGATCAGCCGTAACACTAAACACAACTGCAGGCAAATTCAGAAGAAACATGACCAGAAAATGCGCAGGAGCGGAAACCCAACATCTAAAAGCACCGGACGCAGCTCTAAACCATCCACATTGTCCATTTGATATCATACAAAAAAGATCCGCCGGTGAAAAAAAAGACACCAATGCCACCGACAATCGCATTGAGACACAATTCCCAATCACCAACCCCAAACGCAAATCAATTCAAACCCACCACCCAGAAACAGCACTCTCAAACTCCACCCAGCCCAAGAAAACGGGAACTTACTGCCGATGAGAAGCGGCACAGAGGCAACGCGGCCGAGGGTCAAAATCGTCGGCAACGTGAGAAATTTCGACGAGCATTCCTCTTGCTTCCGACGATCGGGCGACGGCGAAGAAGAAGAAGGCCGAGGGTCCAATCCGTTCACGCCGTCGCCAGCAGGGTACCACTCGACGCCGTCCGCGGCGGCCTTGTTATCGGATCCCATATCTTCCGCGATCACACCACCGGACCCGGAAGGCGACGACGGCGAGGAGGAAGAATCGGATCCAGCGGAGAATCCGGCCTTGCTCGCAAACGGCGTGAAGCCACAATTTCGGAGGGAAGAAGATGAGGATGAGAAAGGAGAGCGCCCGCTGCCTCCAGGTAGCCCTAATAACAACAAACTGCCGCTGCTGCTGCTGCTGCTGGTGGTGGTTATATTAAAATAAATATCTTTTTTATTATTACTGCTACAGCTAAAATTTGGGTACCGGGAATCATTAAAAGGAGCGAGGTGTGCGCAGGGTGGTATCCTGCGCCACGCTCTGCCGCAACTGATCTGGGCCGAACAGAGCGACGGCGGTGCGGCGGCGGAGGAAGGGGACGGACGAGGGACGGCGGCGGCGGCGGCGGAGGAATTGGGAGAAGGGGAAGTAGGGAAAGAGGAGCGAGGCCATTTGTAGGGTTTGGAGGAGAAGGAAGCAGCGGCCATGCTGGTTTTGAGGGATGGCATGGCGGTGGCCGGATTTAGGTTTCAATTTTGGGGGAGGAGGAATGCGCTGTTAATCAGAGAAAACCAGGGACGCACAAAAAAACAAAAAATTGGAGGGATCGATCGAAGAAGAAGGAGAGTTTTTTTTTTTTTTTTTTTTTGGTGTGTTGCTGTTCTTGTTTCTCTAATGTGACATTTGTTTAGCATATTACTATGTTGCCGTTGCTTTTAATTTGGAGGGGATTGCTTTGACTAATTATTTATGGATTATTATTTTAGGAGTTTTTTGTATAGAATTATTTTACGAGTAATCTTTTCTACGTATTCATTTGTGAGTTGTGACAATGCAACTGAGCCAAGAATGCACCTTTGGTCTGCCTAATCTAACAGTTCACCAACTTATCTCAATCAAAAAGTCAATCCAAAAAGCCACATCTTCATCTCAGTACGCAGCCAAATAGTGATGACAATGGGGTGGAATAAAGCAAGTATCTTAGTACCTACACGCATATGTGTTAAGCCGGAGTCGGGGTTAGTAATATTCGTTTGAGCATGGGACGAGATGAGTCAACCCATTATAACATGTCATTTATATAAAATATATACATAAATTATTCATTTTTACGAGAAAAATAAAAAGTTAATGCTGTAGCGATTACGTACAATTAATTGAAATGTGGATTCTTGTACCTAGTCGAAGCTTAGTCCAAATAGGGGGAAAAAAACATAGGTAGATATGAGAGGCAAATCGATTAGGTTGGGAACGAGGCGCGGTGAAATCAACACTCTTCTTTAGTCACACACTATTATGTAGGAAACAAATAAAGTCGAGCGGGTCTGATCAAAACTTGTCACCGCTAAAGATAGGCAATCTCAACTTGGAGATTAACTTATGATGAGTGATTTCTACACGTTCCTCAGGCCAGAGGCGGCGTATGGTATTGCTCTCACGAGTCACTACTAACCACAAACACATTTGTGATGGACGAGCTAGCCCAATACTTTGTTCTTCACAAATTGAAGAAAAAACTGGAGCGCTTATGAAAGGTCTTAAATTTCCTATAGAATGCAATGTCCAATGTGTGGTTCGTTTCTGACTTTAACGTGCTCATCAAAACCATCTCTTCTGGTTCCGCTTCTTGTGTATGAAGATTCCCAGTGGTACTTACATCTATTTCTCAGATTCTATGATATGTTAATCTACCCATCAAAGCAAAACCAATTTCTCTCCGTCATAATGCCAAGATCGACAGAATTACTCGTTCACAAGGACATTCCTTCGCTTCTGCTTAATTGGATCTATACTCAAACTTATTTCAAATTATATTCCAATAACTTGTGAAAGTATATTTATGACAATAAAAATTTCAATCTTCATTTCTCCCTCGTTTAGAAAGCCTCTATGTTACATAGGAATGACAATGGGGCAGGTGTGACAGATGTTCATACCTATACTTGCCATGTGGTAGGTTGAATTTAGGTCGTCAATTTATCATAGGCGCATATCGGGTTAGGTCGACCCACATGGGTAATGTTATTTAAAGAGAAACATTATTAATATTCATTTTTTTCATTAAAAAAACAAGAAACAAACTATAACATTATAAAATGTAGGTAAATGGTTTAAGACATTTAAGTTCTCGCCTATTTTAACATTCATTATTGCTAACACATGAGGTAATAAAAGGAAAATCATAAGTCACTTGAGTAAAATTAGAAGTAATTTATGCAAACACGGTTCGAGAATGCGGCAGGTCAGGGTTGGTCGAAGAGAGTAACTTTGCCCACCACGTCCTACCTACGTGGTAGATACGTATGAAAACAGGTGAAGTAAAACGGGTCACGTCGAAGTTGCCATCTGTTCTCTCACACGACTCGCACAACATGAGTAGTAAATACTAAATAGTAATGTTACACATTGTCTTGTATCTAGGGATGGTCTGGGACGGGTTCTCCCAAACTATCCTAAGCCCCATTTTCATACCAAAAAACTTATGCCCAACCCATACCCATCCAATGATAGATTTTGCAACCCCATCTCCATACCTGTGGTTTTTAAAATACCTACAATAATGTCTTCCCGTATATCCAATACCCATAATAATATAATAAAACTTACCAACAATGCAAATTTTAACATCAAATAGAACTATTAACCCATGAATTCCACAATGATATCATTGGTCTTAATTCATATCCAAAGCATCCAATCCTACAATATCCACTAATCCACAATACAATCCCAATTTATAGCATCTAATCATTAGTATTTTTGTATATGGAGAGATAGTGTTTGTGGGGCGGATAACTCCGTTCAATTTCCATCAATTGTCTTATCAATTTTACCCATATTCGCACCATTATCATATAATTCTCTACATTAACAAAATTAAGAACGATAAAATACCGGAAAAAATCTCAAAATACACATGTTTGGGCATCACCGCTGTTGTCAACCGCAGTAAATGCATTCACCGCGGCAGACCAAAGCGGTGAATGCATCACCGCGGTTGACGACCGCGGTGAATGCCTGATGTAACACTGAAACTTCAAACAAACGTAACTTTGCGCTCGGTTATCCGATTGTAGAGAATTTTTTTATATTCCACATAACTTTTCAAGATCTTTCAATCTGAAACAAGACTTCATCCCCAAAAAAATCATTTGCTACCCCGAACGAGCAATTTTTCAATTTTGACAAACTTTGGAAGATCATAACTTTGTGCTCCACAATCCGAATGTAATGAAACTTTTTTTTGATTTTGCATAACTTTTGAAGTACTACAACTTTGATTATAGCCATAATTTTGGAAAGTATGTGGATTTGTGAAAAGTAAAGGCAAAGTTATTCCCAAAATCCCATATACCCAAAAATACTTCTTTTTAAAATATCATTTCCTAGTAAAAGTTTTAGTTCTTAAAAAGTTATGTGCAATAAAAAAAACTTTACGACGTTCGGATTGAGGAGCTAAAAGTTATGTCCTTCCAAAGTTTGGCAAAATCGAAAAATTGCTCGTTCGGGGTAACAAACGACATTTTTTTGAGATGAAGTCTTGTTGCAGATTGAAAGATCCTGAAAAGTTATATGGAATCAAAAAAAATTTCTCTACAATCAGATAACCGAGCACAAAGTTACGTTTGTTTGAAGTTTTAGTGTTAAGTCGGGTATTCACCGCGGCCGTCAACCGCGATGATGCATTCACCGCTTTGGTATGCCGTGGTGAATGCATTCATTGCGGTTGACAACACTGGTGATGTCTCCAAACATGTGTATTTTGGAAAAAAAATTATAACGTTTATATTTTATTTTTATTTTTTTTTAAACATATGTATTTTTGGAATTCGTGGCAAAATACCTACCCTCCCGAAGATCTTACCTTTCCTCATTTTCCTGGCAAATGTTTGGAACTCTGTGCTACGAAATCGTCAAAAAGTTCTCCTAAAGGCAAAAAGGAAGGAAGGCATCTGCTCTCCTCAATTCTCCCTCATCATCATCACATGTAGGTAACGTGACGCTAATCTCGCCATTTCCATGTGATTCTCTGAATAGAAACTCTTCTTCTTCTTCAACCAGGCCTTCTTTTCCCCACCCACCCACGGCCCATTCTCAAAAGTTGCCTTGCCCCATCCATCCTTTCTGTAGCAGAGTCCACACTCTCACTCACTCTCTCCTCACAGTTTCAGTCTCCGCCATTTCTACCGCTCCCTGTTTTCTCTCTGTCGGCTCCCCAATTTGGGTTCCAGAAAATCAAGGGAACGGGGCCTAAGATAGGACAAATACAAGATTGCCAGAACAAGAGATCTTTCTCTCTTTCTCCCACTTCCGCTGTAGCTTTCACTTTCCCTCTCTCTCCCCCTCTCCCTTTCTCCGTCTTCTGGTTCTGCTTTCGTCGCCGAGGGGTGAAGAAGCCGACGGCCCGGCAAGCGAATTGAACCGATCCGCCGAGTATGAAGGCTGAAGCCAAGGCGTTAAACCCTCTCGTCGCTTTCGACCTCAAGAGGTACGTACTGTCAGTAAGGCAACTAGTGTTCTCATCACCTGCTTCACTGATTCTGCGTGTTGGGTTCGATCCGGCGAATTATCGGTGCGTCCCGGTCGTGGCAGTGTAGTTTTGACTTTAGCCTCAGAGCAGTTCGATCGCAGCGTGCTTTGGCTACGTCGATTGCTGCTGATTTTTAGACATTCTTAACGTTTTGGGTTCTTCTTCTCCGAGTTGATTAGAGCTCTGTCTTCGAAAATTTTCTTGTGGATTTGAATTGCGATCGGGGTCAGTCCAATGTGCTATGATTTTTGGGATTTTGGGTGTTGCGTGGAATTTGGATTTTGAATCGGCTTTACATCTGGGTTGAGATAATGTGAACAAAGTGGAACAATGACATTGCGGTTTTGATAGCAGTAGTTCGTCATTTTCTGGGTTGCTTTCGTCGATCTATGGCGGGTGATTTCTGGTAATATTTGAGAGAAGTCTACTTTGTTGATTGGTACATTGGTTTGAGAATATACCTCATAATGTGGTGTCTACTTGGTACGACGTGTGTGTTTCTGTTTATTGATGGCTTACTCTGTTCTGTTGTTATGAATTTGGTTGAATAGTAGTGAGGTTATGTTTTGATGCGAAGATGTTGGTGTCATGGACAGGGATGCGTATGGATTTGCAGTCAGACCTCAACATATTCAGAGATACAGAGAATATGCTAATATCTATAAGGTTTTATCTTCTTTCTATCTTCCTATTCTTCTGCGGGGAGCTTTGAAGTGTCCCTGGTCTTGGTTGCAGAAGTTATTGAAGAGCCAAGGAAATGATTTCTTTTAGCTCAGGATTTAGTCATACTTTACAAGAAGGGTTTAGTCATTCTTTAGTACATACGATCCTATCAGAAATTGTCATAAAAAGAGGAAAATCAGGTCTGGAGTGGTTGCATTATTTCTTTGGTCGTGAATCGTTTCTTTTAGCCTTAAGCGTTTGAATTGTTGTTCTTGATAGTCGAATTATTGTTAGTTCATTCACTTTTTCATATCCTTGTTGCTTTAGAAAGTAATCCTTGTCAATGTTATCTTCTTAACTGTGCGGAGCTCTTAGCTGAAGCATTATTGTTTCATTGTTGACGTTAACTCCAAGGGGGATCCCTAGTTGTAATGGGGAGTGAAACATCTAACTATCCTTGGGTTTGAGCCTTGGGGTTTCAACATAACCTTTGGAGAAAAAACCCTGCTTGGAGCTTTGATGAATTTATTTTAAGCAAAGGAAGTTGTTGTTCTTTACCATCATACATTTGCTATTTTAGGAGGAAGAGGAAGAAAGGTCAGACAGATGGAAAAGTTTCTTGGACCGGTTGGCAGAGCCTGCTCAACTGCCTATAAATGGTTCTACTTCAGAAGAAGCTGCTGGGAACTTGATTACTGAAGCAACAGAGGAGGAGGTTGATGATAGTTTACTGAAAGAAACTGAAGGAGACAGCCTGAATGATGAGAAGCGTAACTCTGACGTTTCATGTGAGGATCTTACTGAAAATGAGGACAAAAAGTCCAAAGCTAATAGAAGAATACATAGGATCCAAATTTGGGCAGAGACGAGACCGTCCCTTCGAGTCATTGAAGATGTGATGTGTTTGCGTGTGAAGAAGAAGCCCGATCAAGTGAGGGAACAGCAAGATGACATGAAAGAAAAGCCAGTGTCTACTTTTGAAGATGCTAAATCACCAAAAGGAGTGACAGAGGAAGATTCTGAGGATGAGTTTTATGATGTGGAGCGGTCAGATCCAGTTCCTGACGTTCCTCCGGTCGAGAATGTTGTGGCATCTGGAACAGGTGCTACTGTTGCTGATGCAGCCTATCAGGGAGATTTGTCTTCTTGGAAAGAAGAGCTGGAGGTCCTTGTTCGTGGAGGGGTGCCAATGGCTCTTAGAGGAGAGGTATATGTTATGCTTATTACATTTCCCTTTCACTGCCTTTTATTTCTGCTGTAAGAGGTCCAAATAATATGTGATTTGGGTTTTAGCTATGGCAAGCATTTGTTGGTGTCAAGGCTCGGCGAACAGATAAATACTACCAAGATCTCCTCGCCTTGGAAACGAAATCAGAAAATCATGTAGACGTACAATCAGAAAGTGATCCTAAAAGTTCACCAAGAGACCCTGCATCTGGAACGGAAAAATGGAAAGGGCAGATTGAGAAGGTCAACATTTGCATTATGCTTCAGTTATATGTTCTCCACCCAACCTGAGATATTTTATATATATCACCTCATGATCTTGTTTGTGATCTAAATGCAGGATTTGCCCCGAACTTTTCCTGGTCATCCAGCATTGGATAATGATGGAAGAAATGCTTTGAGGCGGTTACTTACAGCCTATGCAAGACACAATCCTTCAGTAGGATATTGTCAGGTACTTGACCATGAGGGTGCTTAACAGGAAAACAGGGAAGTTATTTCTTCACGTCCCATGGTCAATTCTGATATGCTCCCGCTCTTTCTTTGACTAAAATGCAGGCCATGAATTTCTTTGCTGCTCTTTTACTACTCCTGATGCCGGAAGAAAATGCCTTCTGGTGAGTATTCACACTCCTTGTTGTATTCTTTTGCTTATGCTTAAATATGGGCCTCTCCTTGTCTACTTAGCTTAAAAGGTAACTTATCAGCCACATTTGCTCCTTGTTTAACTCTTAGGACATTGATGGGTCTTCTTGATGATTATTTTGATGGCTATTACTCTGAAGAAATGACAGAGTCTCAGGTAATCCCAGCTCTTAGGACATAGATGGTTCTTTCTGTTTCCAGTTATTTATCTTACAGTGGTTTTATGTTTCATGTTATATTTTAACAAGGGGTTAAAAGTGCTGAACGTATACAGTGGGATATGCTGACAACACCCTTTTTTTCCAGGTCGACCAACTAATTTTTGAGGAGCTTGTGCGCGAAAGATTCCCTAAACTAGGTTTAGTCTAGTGTTACTTCTTTCCCTGTTTTGGGTTTCACGGTTTCATTTTCTTATTCTTTGTAGTTTTCTTTTCTTAATCTTTCTTTGCAGTCAATCATCTGGATTATCTGGGAGTGCAGGTTGCATGGGTTACAGGACCATGGTTCCTTTCCATCTTTATGAATATGCTTCCGTGGGAAAGTGGTCAGTTGTTTTTGGTCTTTAGATCATAGTTTGGCTAATGTTACATCTGGTCTGCAGGATCAATTGTTAAATTCAATTCTCTCTGACTGGTAGCTTATAAATGCAGTTCTTCGAGTCTGGGACGTCCTTCTTTTTGAAGGAAACCGTGTCATGCTCTTTAGGACAGCGCTTGCGTTGATGGACTTATATGGTACTGGGTAAAGAATGCTATTTTTTCATTATTATGCAACAGATTTACTGTGCCTTTTAGTTTTTTTCCTTCTGCTGTGTAAAACTTAATTTAGCTCAGTTATCAACTCTTTATGTAGGCCCTGCATTAGTTACGACTAAGGATGCTGGAGATGCAGTTACTTTGTTGCAGTCACTGGCGGGTTCAACATTTGATAGCAGTCAACTTGTACTTACAGCTAGCATGGGTTTCCAAAATGTAAATGAAACACGATTGCGGGAATTGGGAAATAAGCATCGACCAGCTGTAATGGCCGCACTTGAAGAGAGAACAAAGGGACTTCAAGCTTGGAGCGATACTAAGGGGTTGGCTTCGAAGCTGTATAATTTCAAACATGATACTAAGTCGATGTTGGCAGAAGGAAGAAGGCAACCCAATGGTGAATTATCTCGTTCTGAGTCTGGATCTATTAATTCAGATGATGTTCTTGTCACTCTGACAGAGAATGGGGAGATAGATAGTACTCCAGATCTTCAAGATCAGGTAGCTTATATACATTTATGTGCTCTGTAATTATGTTGACCTAAAACATCTTCCCGGTAGGAAGTTCAAGCTTACTCTGGCATAACAAATCATTGGTGCTGGTATTCAATAAATAAATTCACTGATGCTGACAAACTGATTAAAGTCCATAAAAAATGCCTATGGACACTGCCACTTGTGTTTTGAACCCACGGAGAGAGATCATGGATGGCAGTTATTCAACAAATCATTTGTTTCACCATTTTCCGAGAATTTATCCTTCCTTCATATTGTTCTTAAAACAAGATTATACATGCAGGTGGTGTGGTTGAAGGTTGAATTGTGCAAGTTATTAGAGGATAAAAGATCTGCTCTATTGAGGTCAGTAATTTTCTGTATTAACTGAGTTCAGATGAATGAACATAGGGTAGGTGGAGGTGTATTTTTGCATCACTTAAGACACTAAGCACTGACTAATTGCACTGGAAGTTGGGTCTGGACTATCAACTTTACGAATTCCGCTTTCCTTGCACCATAATGATGACTTTGGATGTGTATTTGGGTTGTCTGCAATGAACTCAGATATTGTGATTTTTTATCATACGGGCATGCTTTAGAGCTTCAGGTGAAATTAGAAAGGATTGCATACTGTATACATGACCCTGTTGGTGTAATGCTCTGCCATAGAAGGCCACCTTTGGTTCTTCGAGAAGTGCAACTTAAGTCCATAGTGTTGTCATATTCTCCCCTCATTTTTGAAGCAGTTTGAATATTCTGTGAAACCTAGTTCATGTTGGGTTATTAAAACATGCCTTGATCAGTGAATGGGACGCCTTCTGTTTTCTCTAGCCACTTCAGGGCTATCTCTCAATTTGTAGCTTACTAATTCCAAATCCATTGAAATGGCATTTATCTCATCATGTCACTCTGCAGGAACTTTTTCATTTTGGCAATTGTTGTGTGATTTAAGTTTCTTTTGCAATATGTGTGCATGTAAGTGTCTTGATTATATATTGTTTCTTTCGTTAGAGCTGAGGAATTGGAGACGGCTTTAATGGAGATGGTCAAACAAGATAATCGAAGGCAACTGAGTGCAAGGGTAAAAATGACTTTCTTTATTGTGATTTGCCTTGTATATCATTACAACCTGACACACTGTTAGATTGTTCTTTTTTTTTTTTTTTTTTTCTATTTGGCACTTAAATCCATGAACTGAAGAGAATATATGATAGTGCAGCATAAAGTATATTGCTTGCTTTATCACTGGTCCATCACAGACATGTTAAGCTGGTTTCAATAATCTGCATATGGTTGGTGATCTGTTGTTCCCTTTCAGTGTCAGTAACATGCAATTGAACAATTTAATCTGTTTATGGGATATAGGTTGAGCAGTTGGAACAGGAGGTTTCAGAGCTGCGGAAGGCTCTGGCCGAGAAGGAGGAGCAAGAAAATGCCATGATTCAGGTTTGGTCTCCTGTAATTACCCATTTATATAAGTCTTCCTTACCTGTTCCCATGATTTTGTTTGTGGTCTGAAAGTGTGCCTTTTGCTCTTTGAGGTGTTAATGCGAGTGGAGCAAGAGCAAAAAGTAACTGAAGATGCTCGTAGATATGCTGAGCAGGATGCATCAGCTCAAAGATATGCTTGCCAAGTGCTTCAGGTAATTCTTGTTATCTTTCAGGTCGTTTGGTTATAGCTGTCTGTAATAAGTGGAATTTGCAATATGATCTAATTGAAAATGTGTTCCGTTGACACTTTGGATGTATTTCAGTGGATTTGGAACTGCACATGCAATCTCAAATACTTGGTGAAACAAAGTAGTTGAAAATGTACTCTAGGAAATGGGTCAAATGTGTCTTCATTTCTTGCCGAGATTTTGATCTTGAAGGGTGATGATTTTGCTAAAGTCAAAGTTGCTTGGATTATATTAATTTAGATGCTGAGATGATGACGATGCACACTTGCCCTATAGAATTTCATTTTGTCATGTGTTAGTTCGAGTAATCAATTACATGGATTGGCAGATGCAGAGCTGGGCATGATTTAAATGAATGCATGCATTACACAACTTTTTATGTCACTGATAATTTTGTGTCACTGATAGTTCGAGTAATCAAGTGTTACTACAATTGCTATGCTGTATCTTTGTGCAGGAGAAGTATGAAGAGGCGATGGCATCACTCGCGGAAATGGAGAAACGAGTAGTCATGGCAGAATCAATGTTAGAAGCTACCTTGCAATACCAGTCTGGCCAGCTGAAAACAGCACCGTCTCCCAGGTCTGTCGTTTTGCTTTACAAGCAGATGAATGTTACTGTTGCTTAATGTTTTTTACATCATACTTTACGTAGTTGTGATGCTCAGCATGATTAATTTTATCTTCTGTAGAGGTCAAAATCAAGAGAAATTGCTACGTAGCGACAGCAATCAAGACCCGGCACAGGAAACGCCTACAAGAAAGTCTGGATTATTTGGACTTGGCTGGCGTGACAAAAGCAAGGTCAGTTCTCCGTGTCTTGTTCTTAAAATGCTTCTAAATGTTGGAAAAGATTAAAATCTATCAGTACCAGAGCCTTACTCCTCAAAGGCACATTTCTCACGTCTAATCTTCCTAACAGCACGTCCCTGAAAGGCAAAAAGGTTCAATGTCGTATATATTATAGCCCCCACTAAGTAGTTCTTTTTTGGGGCAAGGCTGCCCTCCAAGACCCCAAAATAGGGCGAACCATATGATGAATTAAGGGCGTACAATACTGCTGAATTTAGTAGGCCCCGTTTTAGTATAGCAAGTAGCTTTATCAGAGTAGGTTAACTAACTTTAAGATGATTGCTCCAAAAGGTGTTTTGGTTAATCTGTCAGAATATGAACTTTTGCTACAAGGACTGGTGTTTGGTAGGCAAAGTTTGAAAGCAATTGCTTGATAAATAAAGATCATTATTACCAGAAAGAGCATTTCATTTGGCATCGATGCTTGTTTCGGTTATACTAATGGAATTTCTTTTAGTGTTTATTCAATTAATGCATGCTCCCTTCTCTCTGTTTTAAAATCAAACTGATGTGGCGTTTCAAGTTTCAACAGGGGAAATCTACGAGTGCTACTAATGGTGAAGAGACCGGAGATGGGAAGCCATCGTCTTCCAACGAGGAGCAGGCGTTAACCAACGATCAAAATGGCTCCCCGGCGGTACAAGACAAAGAGCAGAGATATTGAGATTGTTACTTATACTAGTTACTAAGTTTGGGGAACATTCATAGTTTTCTCTCTTTCTCAGTTAGTCGGACAACTGGTAGATATTCTCTTTGTGTGAACCGACGACGACAATGGTAAATTCGAGGGGGAGTGCCCTACGTTGGCCTTGCCTGCTATAGTTCTTTCCCTCTCCTTTCAACCTTTCTGTTTCCTCGGGTGTAAGTTTTGGCCTAATTATTGTAGAGCACAGTATATCAATCGCATTTTTTGATTTTTTTTAGTAAACTAATAATGTGTTGGTTATATTAGTTGCAATAGAATGTGCAAGGAATCTTCTTATAGTGCAGTCAATTTCTCACTACAAAAATTTCCTTCCATTTTGTTCATAGCTTTTGCTTGCTCAAACTTGTCTGCTCAGCACAGAAAGTACTTGCTCACCTCCATCATCCTTGAAAGTTCTCAACTTAATTAGGGTGTGATTACCATTAATACGAAACGATGACCAACTTGGGACTTGTAGAAGATGAAGGCACAAATGAACATGATAAGAAGAGAAGATAAAGTCTTTCATGTTGCCACAGTAGGGGTAAGTCTGTGTATAAACAAGAAATCTGAACTATAGATACAGATAGCCCCAAGAGCTAGGAATTGTACAATCAAAATATTTGTCAAAACAGGGCAAGGCAAGGCCAATACAGCAGGGATGAATATTCTTTCACCAAAAAAAAAAAAAAAGAACAGAGATTATATATAGGAAACCGAAAGAGAGGAAGGAGGAAAAAAAGGTAAAAAGTAAAAAGAGATCCAATTTGATCTCCCATTCATCTTGCTCATTGCACCTCACCTTTGTTTTCCTGAGTAGACTCCAAAATTCTTGAATGCAGAGCAGCCAATCACCTCTTCTTCTCCAAGCTGCTGAAAGCTCCTAAAACCAAGTCCCGCAATCGCATTTTCACAAACATGAATTCTCTATGCTCTTCTCAAGCAACTTCTTCTCCTTCTTTCATCCATATCTTCTACTCCTCGTTTCGAGATGACTGCATGGTCACAGCTACCTTATAGGAGAGGGTTTGAGGATCCAGATGGTCTGAAAGAAACCATCACCAATTCCTCTTTCGTTTCCTACCAAACAGAAACAGCTTTTCACTATTACTCTCTTCTAGCTCTAGGAGTAGATTGTCCCCCTCCTGCAACTGCACGGGCTGGCTGGCTCTCCGGATCATACTTCTGGGACGCAAGGTAAGTCAGGGCAGTAACAACATCAGCAATGAGAGGTCTCATGTTCGGCTGTTCTTGAACACACATTGCGGCAACAGCTAGAGCTTGATACAATCCCCTCATCGGGTAATGCCCTTGCAGTAACGGATCAGCCATCTGTGCAAACTTCCTTCGGTCCTTGAACAATGGTCGAGCCTGCCAGAGATTATAAGACCAAAAAACTTCAGTATCATTATACTTTTCAGCATAAACACACTAATGGCCCTCCATGCCAAGGACGTCTTAAAGACGGGTTTCAGAATCTCTGATTCTGAAGAATATGCGGATTTTAAATCCAAGATTGTTATAAAAAAGGGGATTCTGAATAATCCACAGATTCTTTTCTTGTGAATGAGTGAGAAGTTCTTTGTCTTGGTTGTAGTCCCAAAACATAGGACAAGAAACATCCTTCTACGAAATAAGCATCCAAAATGCACTAAGCCAAAGGATTTCAAGTGGCATCTAAATGGCCAGAAAAGAATAGAGAGTACAAAAAGGAAGGCAACAGAAATCTCACCCATGCGACCAGGTTATGCTCCCCGGCAGCCCTCGAGTTGTCAATGGCTTTCCTTCCAGTGATAACCTCGAGAAGAACAACGCCGAAGCTATACACATCTGATTTTAATGTAAGTTGACCTGTCATTGCATACTCTGGTGCACAGTATCCATAAGTGCCCATCACTCTAGTAGAAACATGTGTCTTGTCTCCGACAGGGCCCAATTTCGCCAAACCAAAATCAGACAGCTTTGGGTGAAAATTTTCATCAAGCAGTATGTTTGAGCACTTTAGATCCCGATATATAACCGGAGGGTTAGCCTTGTCGTGCAGATACTCCAAACCCTTAGCAGCACCAGCAGCAATTTTCATTCTTGTGTTCCAATCGAGTGCCCTTTTATCAGGTGGCAGGTCTGAAAGTTTATCAGCATTTCAGAAAGACCAAAAATCATCAAATACGGAACACACTTTCAACAATACGTCAATACCACATTAAGCAACATTCGACAGAGATGACGGCATTATTAGAACCCAGATGGGAAATCCATAAATATATGGAAAGAGATGGCATCTAAATGCTACATGGCCTGGCATTTGGATAAATTACCAGCTAAGCCTGTCCTAACCCTTTTCACTTAGTATATCCAGAAATAAGATTCACTCCTTACCGTGTAAATGGTCTTCCAAAGATCCTAATGGCATGTACTCGTATACCAAGAGTCTCTGGTCTCCATCAGCACAGTAGCCAATCAAGTTCACTAGGTTAGTATGGTGAAGTAGGCTCAACATCAATACTTCAACCAAAAATTCCCTGTTTCCTTGTAGGCCATTTCGATCAAGTTGCTTGATAGCGACAACCTACACCAAAAGAGAAGAACAATCAGTTTGGGTCTTAACTACAAACATCAAATGCTAACTATTCCTGAGAAAATAATAAGCTAGAGCTACAAGCAAAATTCAACAATCAGTTTTGAAAATGAAAAGATGACAGATCTCAGCTAACCTGATTCGTGCTGTCTAATCTCCCTTTATATACCCGGCCAAAACCTCCTTCACCCAGAAGATAATCTGCCCTAAAATTCTTAGTCGCGGCAGCCAACTCACGGAATGTAAATGTATGTGCAGCAATGTGATCTGATCCTCCCTCTTTCGGCTTGGGAATTTCCTTCAACTGTTGGGTGATATTTTGCTTTATTTTATCTACACAAGAATAATGAATAGTCAAACCAATTGCATCATCAAAACCCTAAAGGTAGATTGAATAATTGAACATGCATTCATCATCAGTAAGACTGGCAAAAGAAAGCAAAGGATCAAAACAGACAAAACTTAGCATTCCAGAAGGAGCAATGCTTGGATTATATTCACAAGGAAAAGACAAGAAATATACAGATCACCCTCGTTGGTGTACCACAAAGCATCTTTGTAAGCACCTTCAACTACTCACTGTGGACGGAATTATTGTAGTTTCTCATAGACATGTAGGAAAAGAAAGGACCTTTGGATGCAGACTTTGCAATTACCCTATCCTTCAATCATAACAACATTTGACAAACCAGTGATCCATATGTCATGAATAGTAACAAGCAACAGCCTAGTTACCAACTTGCAAAAACTGTAACCATGTTAAAGAATACCACACCTGGGGGAAAAGGAAATAGAAAAACAGACTCAGAACTGGTTTATCTACCCAAAAAATCGCCATGATTCCATAGCAGACCACAAAACCAACAAATACCAGATGTTCCCCAGAAATCGTCATCATAAAAACAAAACTTCCAGAGAGACCAACAATAGCTCAACGACTAATACCACGCAGAGAGAACATGCATCAACGAGCAGCATAATTTCTCCCTGAAATCATACCTCCTTGCTAACCCCAGTCCAGATCAACAAATTACTAAGAACCCAGAAGAGATTATTGCCTAAAACTGAGGGTTAATAAGACCCAGAACAAATTGAAGCCTAAAATTGAGGAAAGGACGGGACTTTGTCAAATAATTTCGATGATTCACAAGTGTCATCAAGAAATCAGCTGGCGACAAACCCATAGAAGAAAACAAAACAATAACAACGAATTCGTGAAATGGAAGGATATTCACAACATAGCAGAGTTTCAGCAATCTGGAAAAAAGGAAAACAATAACGAATTTCCAAGCTCGATGGTATTCAAGTGAAATTACCTGAAGAAGACGGGATCTGATCATCAAACTTCTTCTTCTGCTGCTGCTTGGATTCATTGAAATCATCAGGCTGTTTCCTGTGGAGTTTCTTGGCATTTTTGTTTGCCTTTCCACCACAGATAAACCAGCCCATAACCTGTTCCTCTCTTCAGAGGAGGGGAGTATCACTCTTCAGAAAGAAAAGGAGAAGAAAGGGGAGAGGGAGACGGACAGACGGAGAGAGAAAGGCAAAGGAAAAAGAGAAGGAGAGAGAAAGGCAAAGGCAAGACCAAACAGCCCACTTGGGGCAGAGAGGAAGAGAGAAATCAGAAATGGGAAGACAAGACACGGTGAGAGAAGACGAGGGAAAGAAAAGAAAAAACGAATAAAAAAAGTGTTAAAATATTTAAATCTTTGGTCACCATTATTATATTTTAATTGTTAGTTATTTTCTTATGAATTAGTTATTAAATTCCGAAACCAATTACTTATTATATTTGATACTATATTATTTGGAAGGTGTGACAATGAAGTTTTGATAAACTTCTAAGTTACCAAAAATAATATTATAGTATGACAAAAAATAATATTTTATTTTATTTAAAACATAATGAAATAAATAAAAAAAGTTGAGTTGGTCAAAAGAGATAGAATATATTAGGTATTTCATAGGGCATATCATGTATATAGTAAAATGAAAAATTGATTTAATAACTCATCTAGAATAAATTGATTAATCACTCTAATACGTTCTTCGATAAAAAGGGTAGAAAATGGTTCGAAGTTTTTCTAGAGGAGTCAAGATACTTAACAATGAATATTAATCTCCGATTGGTGAACTGTTATCTCTAACGATCAAGGTAAATGTTTAGGATACAAATTTTCATGTAACTCACATCTCGTTTTAAGATTGTCATGTTTAATACTATATATATGATAGAAGTGACCGCTTTCAAAAAGTACAGGCCTTCTAGTGATATTAGTCCTATAAACTATTGGAAAATAATCAAACTAAGCTAGATGCATCCCCTTCACTAATTTGGAGCTTTGAGCCCACATGGACATGGTGTATCTATTATCTAGAGTGCTACAAGAGCATGACTCCTAACCAAGGGTTAGTTGTCATAAAATGAAATAATAATCACTTTCATTCCATCGAGTAATTCGGGTTTAGAAATAATAATTACACAAAAGGATATCATAAAATGAAATAAAAAAACAATAATTTGATTATTAGGAAGTGATGTGTTGGCCAAAGATCTCGCAACTAGGGCTGGCTATTTGGTCCGGGCTATTTGGTTTTATCCAAAATCGGACCGTATAATCCGGACTGGGACCGGACCGGAACCGGATAACAAACAATCCAATCTTCGGACTTGGATTTGAGGTAAAAAACCATTTGGGACCAAATAACCGGAGAACAAACAATTCAGACATCAAACCATAACATGACAATTTGAATTGTACAATACAATTATACAGATAGATTTATCCTTTTTAGCTAATTTTATAGCATTTTGATTTTTCTTTACATTCATTTACCCCTACTAAGGTAATTTACAACCCTAGTAGTTTAGTCCATCAACCAACTTTCGAAATCAATTGAAGCTTTTTAGCGCGCAGAAATGGACAGTCGAGCTCGGAATTTGCTAGATGAAGCCCTAGGGCTGGACCAGCTGACCCAATCGAAGTCGCCTCTTGGCGGGAAAGCAGTTCTGATCGAGGACTGCGTAGAGACGAGCGGCTCCTTCGTTCTTCACCAGCTTATCAAACGCCTGCTTACTGCAACTCCCAACTCCTCCAATGTCGTCCTCTTCCTCGCCTTCGCCAACCCTTTCTCCCACTACGACCGCATTCTCCGAAAACTCGTACCCTCTTTCTATCTCTCTGTTTATGACTGTTTTGGCTTCCGAAAAGGTTCAGAATTTTGGCTTCCTGGGTTTGAATTCTTGAAGTTTTTTTTCGTTGTTAGGGCTGCAATTTAGCTGCCCAGAGAGAGAACGGTAGGTTCATTTTCGTTGACATGCTTAATGTTCAGTGCCCAGGTGAGACAAAGAATAGTCTTTGAAATTTGAATTTCTCAGCTTTTTCGGCAATTGAATGTTGCTTTGGTTGTGGTGAATGTTGATGATTTGGTGCCATTGTTGAATATTTGGAGAAGAAGGAAAAGCTGGTGGTGGTAGAAGTGGGTTGTTTGCCTTGTTTGCAAACATCACCAAAGTCTTGAATTCCTTGCCTGAAGGCAACAGGAAGTGTCTCACGATCGTGATAGATGATGTTTCTCTGATAGAGGTGGCTGCACATGGATCTTCGGATCATGTTCTGGACTTCCTGCACTATTGCCATGCTCTAACATCAAACCATGTAAGCACATACGTTGTAATTTGTGTTACGACAATGCTTCGATTCGGTACGTGAGGGTTGTTGTTCTTTGGTTTAATTGTGGAGCATCTGCCTGCTTGTGATGCAGGGATGTTCGTTGGTCATGCTTAATCACGACGACATCTACTCGAGCATGGACAGGCCGGTGTTTCTAAAACAGATGGAGTATGCTGCAGATGTTTTGGTAAAGGTGAAACCTTTAGCCACTGGTTTGGCTGCTGATGTCCATGGACAGGTAAACTTCTTTATGCAGTTTTTCACTTGCTGCAAATCTTTCAGCAGCACATTTCCAGTCTGGATTTCATAACAAGCCGTTCAAAGTCTGAAAATCCTAGCTTGTTTCGATGGACTGCAGATGCCCGTGTTGAACAGAGATCAGTGCAATAGGAGAGGAAGCTTGAATAACGGAATGAACAATTTCCAGTTCCGGATCAAGGAAAACAGTGTCGAGTACTTCTATCCTGGAGCTCGAACTTGAAAGAGCCTATAGGTCATTTGTGTCTAGGAGCTAGAAACTTCTCAACGTGGGACAATTCTTTTAGCTTACAGGAGTAGATGAGCTTATTCTCATGGGGGAAGAACCCCATCAGAGAGCAGGGATGATTGGATTCACCTGCATCAGATTGTTAGGGTTCTAAATCTTTTCCCTTCATGCCTACCGTTCTTTTTCTGTTCAAATTTGTAACGAGATTGGCATTCGTCAACTTCCTCTCCAGTTGAACTCTCTTCAGCTTCTTGCTTAATCATGTTGGAGATGGATTACAAGTGAAGCAGAATTCAATTAAGATATACTAACAAGACCACATTGGAAAGCCTGCAAATAGGAAGAAAAACCTAGCAGAGCAAGAGTTCGCTGCTGTCGTCTGTCTGATGTTATTTGAAGAATTGAAGTAGTTGGTACAATACAATCCTAACCTGGCATTGCCTCATTAACCCCTCTGGGATTTCTTTAAATCCCTAATATGAAGTTTTATAACCAAACAAATACACCCAAAATTGAAAGGATAAGACACCTTTGTCTGAAATACAAACGAAATACAAATCAGTATATCGAGCTTAGCTAGCTAGACCATGCATCAGGCAAAGAAGAGTCTCTTTACTCCCCCACAACAAGTGATAAAAACCTTACATATGGTCTCGCTTGGCCTGGATTATTTCACATTTACTGTTCTATATCTTCAATTTTTTGTATGCACGGCGCTCCTTCGTGCAAAGAATGACCTAACTTAAACTGGTGGGATATGCTACATATAAATATAGGAGAACAAGAGCTCATGCTGCTGCAGAGCGCTTAACTTCATGGTCCTCGAGGTTCAGAGCTTCAAGCAGCTTCGGCCATGATTCCGGAATCCCCCCTGGAAGACTGAACTCCAACAACTTGCCTCGACTTCGGTAAAATTCCTCCAAGGGTCGACTCTGGATCGAGACAAGAACAGTTGGCTATTAGTGAGAACACATGACATATTAACAATACATTGTAATGCAAAGACAACAGACATTAATAAGGGTTTTGCAACTACTGGATAACCTGCCCAATTTTAATCCACATTATACATTTTGACATGGGAGATTCAACATTAAAGATGGAGCAAGTGGAAATCAAAACTAATGGGTCCTCGTTCAACATGACCAATCTTAAATGGTATTGAAAGTGAAACAAAACAGACAACTATTCTAGTTCCCGTGCTACAACAGACAATGGGAAAATGAAAGGAAATAGGACCAGGCGCAACTATGAGCATATCACAACATTAATCAGCCATTAGTGGAAGAATTATAACAACATCAAACAAACAAAAACGAGAGTACTTAACAAGATAGAGAAGGGGAAATACCATCTCGTTATAAATTTGTAACCGAGCCTTCACAACTTCTTCAGTATCATCGGCACGTTGGATCAGTTTGTCTGCGCATTGTGGCGGTGCCGGAAGAGGAGCCATATAGATACCAGGTTCACCATTATCCCCCTTGATGTCAATGCAAGCAATGTTGTAGTTTCCTCCACACTGGCTGCAGATTCTACGACCAAGACATTTTGCAAGGAGAGCTTCTTCCCTAAGCTGAAGGTTCACCACCAAATCAATTTCTGTGACTCCTTCCAATATTTCCTGTCATACGATCACATTATGAAGCATCAGCTTGTGGTGATTCGTGCCAAGGCCAAATGTCTTAGCATGTGTTCCATCAGTGTATGTGAAAATGGATGTTACTTGAAGTGTATTTTCATAACTCTGATTGATTAAGTGCATTTGTAAAGGTTGTGACAGAAAAGTGAGAAAAAAGACACCCCTTTTCTAGATTGCAACTACAAATACCTCCGACCCACATATATTTGAGACCAAATAATTTCGATGCACTTGAGATTACATGTGCATATCTAATACACTCAAACTCAGAAGCTCCAATGAAGAATGATATGTTTCTTCTTGCATGCAACTGCAAACATCAATCTCTCAAGCACATCCTCAAACAGTATGTCAAACAGCGTTTATGTAGGTCTTCAAAGAAACTAAATTTAGCTCCTTGTGAGAGTTAACAAAGGAGTAAGAAATTCTAGTTAGTACTGAAGAGATGTAGAGCATGCCAGTCCAAATAAAAAATCATTATTAGTAGTAGTAAATCAGATTAAAAGTGCCTTACCGCTTGCCTAATAGTTCGAGGAAAGCCATCGAGAATGAAACCGGATTCTCCCTTAGCTTCCCCTGCTTCAAGGCGCTTAGATAGCAAGTTGATAATGATTTCATCTGAAACCAATTTCCCTTGGTTCACAATCTCCTTGAGCTGCACCATACCCATCAAGTTGAAATTTTGTTAACAAACTCTGATTTCTCATTAGATCAGAGACCCAATTTGGGGGAAACCAGAACTCCCACAAAAAGGGGAAAGTTAGATTCGAATCAGAAGCAAGAAAGCAACGCCTGTTTTTTTTTTTTTTTTTTTTGATGATCAATTAACTCAATCCCAATAGCGAAAAAGAGCAAATTCAAATCAACGGAAAGCGACCTGAGCGGCGAGAGGACCGGTGGAATTAAGCTCCTCGCGGACGAGATCTCCGGTGGCGATGTGAGGGACGCCGAGGAGATTCGATAAGCGAGATGCGTAGGTCCCTTTCCCGACGCCTGGGCAGCCGAGGAACACCCACTGGACGTTCCTGTCCTTGGGGTCTTGCGGCAAGGGCGAATTCCGGGATAGGAAAGACGACGACGGAGATCTGGCGATGTCGGGCTCGGGATTGAACGACGTTGAGGAGGCGGAGAAATTCCGCGAGGTGAAAGCTCTGGAGACGGCCGTCAGTTGCGCCGATGAGGATCTGGACACTCGGAGAAGAGCGGCAGCCATGGCGGGATCGTGGGAGAGAAAAACAAAATTTTCCTGTGTTCCGGCGTGTCTGGTTGCAGAGATTGATTTGCCTTGGCAGTAGTAGGGTTTTCGCTCGTCTACTGTCTTCGGGACAGAGAGAGAAAGAAAGGCACGTGCACGCCACGGCGCTTCTTTTTCCAGTTGTAAGAAATTATTTCATTATTACAAGTTCAAAGGAATTATTATATATATTTTAGCGAAAAAAGAAATCTGGATTCTAAGTTTAATTAAATTAAATTGTGTGCTTAGATTGTGAGTAAGTTGTCTACACGACAGCTTCTGCTGCTGAAAGAAGATTCCTGATGTCGTTTGTTTGTTGTTCTTTTTATTTCGGCGCTATGGAACCTCCGACTCTTCAAGTAGCGACACGTGTCTTCTAATGTAGTTAGTGTTGTTAATGAACCAAGCCGCTTATGAACGGCTCGGTGTCCGACTCGAGAAAAACTCGTTCGACACTTGATTTGTCTTAATCTAGCCGGCTCGAGAACAAGCTCGTTAACTAAACGAGCCGAACTCGAGCCATACCATATTCAGCTCGAAAGCTCGCGAACAAGCTCATTTAATGGTTTGGCGAAAAAAAAGATTAGAATTCATGTATTTTATGTATTGAAACTGGGATAAATATTGTGTTTTACTTTGATAGACTTTGCTACAGGTTCGAATGTTGTGCTCAGTTCTAAGTCAATTTTGAGCTATCATGAACATTTTATGAGCTGAACTCGATTTTGGGCTCGTTAAACTTATTTGACGAGCCGAGCTCGAGCTTTCATTTTCGTAAACGAGCCGAGCTCGAGTATGGAAATATATTAACGAGCCGAGCCCGAACTATGACAAAACTCGGCTCGATTCGGCTTATTAACAGCCCTAAATGTAGTCAAACCAACAACCATATAATAAGATCATCGAAAATACACTTAAAAGCAAGTCAGACCACTTGAATTAGCCTCGGAAAAATCTAGCAACGATGAGTGAGAGCTTCGCTTCTAATTCATATACTTCTGTCACGAGCTCTTTTATCCCTCCATTTTTCTCCTCCAACATCATAATCTCTAATTTGAGCGGTAGAGAGGGTCTCCAATGAGTTCGGTTAGATGGTTTTTCTTTTGAAGAGAATCAGTTCGAAGCCGGCATCAAAAGCAGAACGTCCAACATGAAAAATTGTAGTCACTCAAAAACTCTTTCATCGACAATATTAACGAAAGTAGGGCTTGGGAAAGAGTTTTCATTAGCCTTGTGCACAAATTTGTTAATTTTATAACACCAATGGCATAAACTCTCTGTTCATAGTCATAGCAAAAGGAGAGTGATTTTTTTGTCGTACAATTTATCCAACTAAAAGTGTTTCGCAATTCGCAATGATCAAATTCGGAAAAGAAGATGGAATAAACTCGATCGAGGAATATACTAGAACATGCCGGGGAGCAAAGCAACCCTACCAATAATTGTATTTGTTCCACAAACTAAACCAAAGTCCACGTTGATATATAATGTCAATTATATTAGAGAAGGACCGGCGTGGCCCCGGCCAACAAATCACCATCTCGCAATACATCATAATAATATACTAGCTTGTAACCCGACCCGTTGGTCGGAGGAGCTGAGCCGAATATTGAATTATTGGGATAACCCGTAGATTCAACCATTAAGCTAAATTGGTCTAATGGTGAGTACCGCCTAGCATATCCCTAATAATCATACCAAAGTGAATATATTGGAACATAAACAGTACATCAAAAGTTGGTACAACCATGAAGTTAGACCATTAAAAACATACCAATGAAATTGAATAGCATCGAAAAACTTCAACTTCATTATATAATTACATGAGATCAGAAAGAGAACACCATTAATTTGATTTATAAAACTTTCATCTTGTCGTCATTGTGCTTTCTGGTTTTTGTCAGGCCATGATAAAATCTAAGGAAATCAAGAACGAACAACACGATTTGGGATAGGAACCGCCGTTGTCGTATTCTTAGAGAATGGTGGTAAACACGGACTCACCTGCCAAACTGGTTTGGATTGAGATTTTTATCGGGTATCAGGGAACCATGTGATTATAAATTAGACTTGATCAAAACGGGCCAAAACTTAAAATTCAGCCTGTTTGACCGACCCATGCAAAATTCTAATTATTCGTTACTTTTAAACTTTCTATTTGAAAATAAAAAATAGTGAAAGAAAATAGATGACTGCAATTCGCCATTTGCACATCACTTATTCGGGAATAAAACCATAGAAATTCAAAAGAAACTGAAAATGTTTAGGATCGTTTTAATGTTTAAAATAACCAAATAGATCTTTCTGTTTAGTTTTTTACTAACAAATACCAAACGATTCCCTATAAAATACACTATAATTTTATCATTATGATATCAAATAATTATATAATATATATTTGAAATGATAAAAATTGGACTAATTGGGTTGGTCGAGATTGAACCATTGAATAACTTTAAACTACATTATATTTTAGCCACTAAATATAAAATAATATAATAATATATATTATGCTAGAGAAAATAGCTTGTTTTAGAATGTCAAACCAATGATGTTCATTTGTTTTACTTGATGGCCAAATCCGGTGTAGGTCAGGCCCATTCAACTCTTTTATTTTATGGTTAGCGGTTAGCCCTTTAGATACCATGCATTAGTTTATTGTTAATTTTTTTTTATTTTTAGCATAAAAAGAAGTATTGTTTTTGCCTTTTCATATATATTGTATCACCACGGAGAAATACAAGGGGTTAAAGAAAAAAATTGACACTCCTGAACCCGTTTAAATCCGCATGTGTACGGTAAGTTGGCCCGTTCCACAGAGGAAAGAGAAAAAAAATTAACACTACCTATTCTACCCTTCCTACAGACGCTCATGGAGCAGGGAATTTGAAATGGGGGAAGGGGGTTTTTCCTCCCTGCTATTATATGTTTTTGATTTAAAAGAATGCAACAAATGTATTTAGTGTGATTGGTTATGTTCCTTGCTTTTCTTTAAAATGGACATGGTTCGAATCCCAGTACGTGTCTTTTTAATGAATAAAAAAAAGTAATTGTGAAGACCAAAATGTCCTTCCTACTTTCACTCTCGTTGCAGGAAATTTGAAATGGGGCTCCCGTTTTTCCCTTCGGTGTATTATATTATGTGTGTCTTTTTAATGAATAAAAAAAAGTAATTGTGAAGACCAAAATGTCCTTCCTACTTTCACTCTCGTTGCAGGAAATTTGAAATGGGGCTCCCGTTTTTCCCTTCGGTGTATTATATTATGTGTAGATTATTTCTGATGCATTTTAATTTTCTTTTCTTCCATTACTTTACTTCCACCCTCCACGCCTTCCCACCAGTGGCGAGTGGCGACAAACAAATCAAGTCAGGTTGAATTTCAACTTTATCGAGACTGAGCTCGTTAGTAAATGACTCTGGGTTCAAATTCAACTCATTTACTGAAATCTGTATTTCACACGAGGTCGACTAGAGATTGACTCATTAATAAACTCACAAACTCGTAATTCATCAATCAGCTTGCGGCGAACACGACTCGAGCTCATAGTGTTAAACATTACTTCTTTTTTTTCTTTTACGGTAAAACCTGTGAATCTTTATTATTAATCAGTGTTGGCCCATAGTGTTAAACATTACATGTAGATATGATTCAACAAATCTATAAATGATTATCAACCCAATTTAGTCGAGCTGCCTCGCTCACAAGCCACACAAAAAAGCCAACTTATGCTCAAAACGAGTCAAAATGCGAATTAAACTCAACAAGCCATCAAATCGAGCTGATTCACAAGCCTTGCATACAAAACATGGCATACCCCAATCTCTTACTCATCGAGTTGATTCACAAGCCTTGCATACAGAACATGACATACTTCAATCTCGACTCATTGATTTTCCCCAAACCGACCCACCAGCTGCTCCTGATAAGCTTGGCTCTTTACAACCCTAGTTGTCTATGTAATGTTAGTTAAAAAGGAAACGTGAGAAAAATTTCTTTTCCACTTGGCTAATGCATTGATTTCCGATATTATGTATCTATATTACACGCTGAACAAGAAGGTAAGAGATAAAAAAAAGGCGAGTCTTCTATCTCTGTCGTGAAAAATGCGATAGTTAAATGTCATCCTCATGAGATTCCGGCGCCGGGGAAGAAGACGATACGATCCCCTTGCCTTTGCTCTCCGACGAAGATGCCGCAGGGTCGGTTGGTACCATCTTTTCCACCTCTGCTTTGGGCTTCTCCAGAAGCTGGAGCTGGCTCTGAAGCACCTGAAACCCCATGACAATGAATCAACCCTATGAGTAGACAGCAGAGGAGGCTTTACCAAAAACAAACAATTAAAGAGGAGGTAAGAATTTGCCTCCATCTGGCTTTGCAGAAACTTTCTCTGTGCTTCCATCTCAGAACTTGACAGCCCTCCCAAGCCGCTGCTGTGTCCTCTTACATTCAGATTACTGCCACCAGCTCCTTGATACGGAACGAACATGACTGGGGGGACTTGAGGCAGAGACGGCATGTTTGAAGGCCCGGCATGGAACTGAAATGGGGGTTGGGATTGTCCACCCACACTCACTTCTCCTTCAGCTGCTGAACTGTTGTTGGCTGAAGGTCTCTGTCCTTCAGGAAATAGAGCATACCCAGGAGACCTGCATACAGAATGCCACAAAACGTGTGCTGCTTCACTACATCGACAAAGGTTTTTGAAATAACAAGAAATTCTTTCTCCATATACTAGATGGAGGAATGTGTTCAGCACCAGACAGAATACAGGTGATCAAAAGCTCAGCCTTTCAAAACCGAAATGTTTCTATCCGGCTGCTCGACATGACGTATGGTATGATACAGTAATGTGAGCCAACAAAGCCAAACGTTTGTTTATCCAGAATCAAACAAGGGAAATGGTCCGTTGAGAAGTTTTTTTCACGGGATTTCTCTGTGAATAGAAGGCATACCACACTAGAGTGTTCGGAGAGGGATACACAAATGATCTCTCGTACATAGCTGCTGCAGAGGCAGCTGCTTGGAGTCTTGCTTGATGTCGGCTCAAATCATCATCAGCACCATCACCAGCTGAACCTTGCGCAGATGTACTAGCACTGCTTGAGGCTGCAAATTCAACATTTTTCAACAGATAAGATACTGTGCCCAGCTAAAACAGCAGAAAAGAGAATGAAGCAAGCATCCAAGTTACAACAGTTAAGAGAAACGGGAGATGACAGTAAACCCATAATTCATTCACAGCAAATCTCCACCATTATAGCAAACCAAAACAGTCGACCAAATGGAATATTACTAGCAAACAATTTTAGAAAAGCTATTTTGTGCTAGCAGATATTGCATGAAGTTACAAACTGCATAAGTAAATAATGAAATTGGTATCCACACTGCAGTGTGATCAAAGCTAAACAAGAAAACAAGACTTATCATCGCAATCTGAGTAAGAAGGAATTCACAATAACACTGAGCATCAAGATTCAAGAGCTGAAAGCCATAAAGCAAAGAGCATAGATGAACTAGCTTGGTGCATAACATAAACGCATCTTACAATTTTGATTAGTGTTTGACCGCAACCCAGGTTGGCCACCAGATGTACTAGCACCATTTTCAGGCGGTACAACCAATGCTCTGCAAGTAGGACAGGTGTGCTGGCGTTCCAACCAGGAACGGAGACAATGAACATGGAAAAGATGTCCGCAAATTAACTTTTTGGCTGTGGTCATCTCTTCACGGCAAATAATGCAGGTAGCATCACTTCTGTAATTCATAAGAAATAACCAATTACAGCAAATGAATGCTAACATATTAAGAGCAGAGACACTAACAAGTACAACTTACACGTTAAGCTCTTCAGGTGTTGCATCTGGAAACCGATCATTCATATTGGAAGCTATCTTCCTGTAACGAAGGTAATCGGCAACACGGATTTTGAAATTCCTAAACGTCTCATAAAGTTCTCGGATCAGGTGCAAGGGCACACCATAGTTCCTGCACAAATATGAAAAGTAGGCATATTGAACGAACCAGGACCATAAATAATATGGAACAAAAATGAGACAAGTGTTCCTTTCTTATGTTCCTCCTGTTTTTAGTTTCAGAACAAAGTGAGCACACAAATAATAGACATTTTTTTTCTTCTTCCAAATAACCGGGGAACTATCAACTGCAATACACTTTCTCTTTGTCTAGCTTGAATAGGCAAAAGGTTCTTCCAAATCACTTGAGAGAAAGCATGCATTGTAAAGATAAAGAGAACATCCACAAAGTCGGCAGGAAATGCCAAACAACAACTCTGTGAGAATTATTATGGCTTCAAATGACACCTATGCTATATCCCATAATCACCATCGCTTACTTCTGTTTCAGTCTATTTAGTTGTCCTTAGACTAGCAAACACAACCCTGATGAAAGCTCACAGGGCCCAAAAAACCATGGCAGGAGCATTGCAGTATCAAAGATAAGGACATATCATAAATGAATTAGCATGAGGTGATCACACTGAAGATGTAGGTTCGAGTACTTACATGAAGATCACAAGAAAGAAGCATAGGTACATCGACAGGTGAAGTAAGTCCCGGATAAGTTCCAAGTAGAAGGTGTACACAGCCTTTCTTTCCCATTGTCCTTCCATAAGCATGTCACTCACATAGAAGACGTATTTTACGAATGTTGACACCGTAGTGGTTGCCAGTATCATATACCTACAACGTATAACAATTACTGCATCAATGAGTAGAGAATGCTTGATAGAAAAGAAGGGGCTATCCAGACTATAAACTATTTTCTTTCACACCAAAAAGTCCATTAACACAACCAATCAATCTGAACATGAATTCACCAAACGTAAATGGATAAGGGTTGACTTACTCGAACGCAAAGAACAGCGAAACTGAGGCTTGTCGAGTGTCTATCAAATACTTTATAGAGCTGTACAGAAACAAACTGTCTACAAGCAGAAGAAACCCAAGAAATGATACTATCCGGACTTGAGACCTCATAGGCACAGATGGTGTTGTTTCAATGTATTCAACCCTCTTTTGAGCCAGCCAATGCAAAGCCTTGACTAATAGCAAGGCCGTAACCATAGCGAGGAATCCCACTGAAAAATCCTGCCTGAAGATAGTGATTGCGAAGAGGATTTCCATAACCTCCCTCCATGACTGCTCATTCAACCTCTCGACTTCAGCTTCCCGGAGCGTGCCCAGGAAGACCTTCTTGGTCAGTTGCCACAAAATACACATCATTACTAGCCCCATGTTTAGAAGAAGCACCAAACTGATCTTGGAGGTGGACAAATACACCATAGCTGGATAAAACTGGCCTCTTGTGCTGAATGCATGATATATAACCGCCAGAGCAGCAACCAGACTGAGGCTTGCATATGTCCGCAACTGCATCATCTCTTCTTCAACCTGCGGGTATGTAAAGAACACCAATTCAACCAACCAAGTAGAAAAGGCATTGAAGCACTGCAGGAATTTGATGGATGCGAACCCTCAGTTTCAAGAACGAGTTAAAGGGGGAAGATTACCTCACTTTTCACCCCTTCCAGAAATTTGCTGAGAGTTTGGCGAAAATCTACTGTAGAATGAACAAGCCTCCTCGACTAGGGTTGAGAGCAACGTTGGGCTTTGTTCTTCGGCAAAGATTCTTTTGCCCTGTTATCTATCTTCTTCGCCAGAACCCCATACTTGCCGAAGGAGATGAAGTTGTCGGAGACGGGGGACTGAAACTAGCTGCTGATGGAAACAGATGAAATAGGCGCGTGCGCGATGACGCTCAAAATCAACCCCGATCGCAGATCTGGAAGAGAATTGTTAAACAGGAAAATTGGCGAGCTGAAAGAAAGGGGGAAAAAAATGGTGAAGGAGATCGCAAGGAAGAGTCGTTCTGAATTTTTCTTCGAACGAGCCGAGCAAAAGGAAACAGAGGATAGAGATTAGAGAGGTAGAAACCGAGGAAAGTGAAGGGGGGATGTCATGAATGCCACGTGTCTATTTCCAATTGGTAGGGAGTAGAAACATGACACATAGAGGTCCATACTCCATTCTGTTAAGTCGTTTTGGATGGATACATTCAGAACCAAAATTGTAAAACAAGTCATTTTTATAAAGGGTTAATTAATTAATTTGAATTATATATCCTCAGATTATTGTCATTATTTCCAAACGAATTATTTCAAAATTTTCTGAATCAAATTAATGCTTTCAAATTTGTTATTATAAATGAGTCAATTTAGTTTAATTACTAGTACTTGGCCCGCGCTCCGCGGCAGGGTAAGTGTGATTCCAGTTGTTTTGTGGATTTTGTTATGTTCTTTCTGCTATACCATTCGCAAATAGTTTAGATTCATTGCGCGAGAGAGCGCAGAAATTAACAAACATATTAACAATCTTTGTGCACACCACACATATACATCTGCCATAGTTTTGTCTTCATTGAAAATAGGGAATAAAAAATTTAGTATCTGATGCCCTTGACGAAATTAAAAAACACAAACACATTTGCCATAGTTTTGTCTTCACTGAAAATAGGGAATAGAAACGTCAGTTTAAAATGGAGAATTCTGGGGGTGGATGGGATACTTCGGTTGGCCTTTCTGTCAGTAGTGCTGATGGTCACTTATCTATCCTTGAGGTGTGCCAAAGTGTCGCTACTCTTATTTGGGATACGGCTGTTCTGGTTCTGTTCTTCAGATCTGAGGAACCGATGTAGAGCTCTCCTGCAAACATTCTGCTACATCTTTTGACCAGCAACGCCTTGGCCGATTCTGCATCGAGTTTTTTGTATTTGCTGGGCGACATTCCTATTATTGATAGTGTAGCCTCGTGGTCCAGTATGGCATCAACACTATCATCTCCTTGCTTGCATTTGACTTCCAACTCATAGTGCAGCCTAGTCATAAGTATAAGTTCAGAAACTTGTTGGCTTATTCGTAGATAGATTCATTCACATGAGAAGTAATTGTCGTTTTGAAATAGAAAACTTACTCTGGCCAGTCCTCAGTCGCTTGACATATGGCTTTTCGAAATTTCATTTGTGAGATGAAGAACTTAACACGATAGAGTACCTAGCATGAACATCAGATATTCATAAGATATAGGTCTACGAAAAATGTAGGTACACAGTATAGGAGTTTGGTTTATGTTCTGTCCCTCACTAACCTTGTGGACAGTCTGATCAGATGCAAGCATTGTTTCCATGTCAGAGAGTGTCTTCTTTTCGATTCCTGATCGAAGGCAGCCTGTCTTCTTGCTGGTATTGGCATCCATGAAATAAACTTGCCTGCGACTGTAAAGGAAACTGGTTGCAGCATAAAAGAGACAAAAGTGTCAATGTAATTGGTTTTGGCCTACTGGCACCAAATATGATTCAAAAAATGGAAAGGATTCTGTCAAACTAAATGTACATGTGCATTATCTCCTGGAATGGGACTGTATAAGATCTGATCATGAGTGCACTGGCAGGAGTGGATTCGAACCGATACTTGTATTTCTGGTCGGCTAGAGGTGCCACCCGAATGAGAGACTTGATTGTAACAATCAGAGGCAGATGAGCCTCAGCTGTCGGGGCGTTCTCTAAGAAGTTCGGTATATCATATCCACGATACCGAACAGTTGCCTTAGCGCCACTGTCAATGACACTAATATGTGAGGTTGTTTATTCATACAATTTGCAGATCGAGATTCAATTCTACAAAATGTACCTCACATCCTGAACGACCATGTGAAATTCTTTGAGTCTACTGCGAATTGTTGTGGGAACACTGAGACGCCTAATGCATACGGTGATGTCTATAAGCAACATAAGAGTTTGTCACTTAAAAGCTTAAGTTCATTTTATTATATCAAATAGATATGGTTAATGTACCTGTATGATAGTCGATGGTGTTTGTCTGAAGTGGTACCATCGAAAAAGCCATCACAATGTCCCAGCCAGCGGGCAAGCGTGGCTCATCAGGGTCCTCCTCAATCCTGGTAATTTTTTGATCAGCGGTTATGTGCACTCTTAACTCTCCTGCAACGATCCTTGGATTCTCTCTTGCTGGTATTGCTTCAACCGAATCAAACTGATAAAGGTTCCCGACTTTTATCTTGCGAGAAATCTCGGCGATGTCTTTTTCATCAACCATTGACTCGATTAGTCGTGCCTATAAGATAAGCAGTTAAACGGTTCCAAATTATGTATTATAGTAGTTTAAAATTGTTGATGAAGAGATTATCTAATTCTGTAACTGCAATGGAAAAAAACCTTTTTATCTATCCAGATCATGTGCATGCTAAGATTTTTAAGCTTAGGCGCCTCTCGATACTCGAGCCATGCCATCACAGGCCTAGCAATTACTATGCGGACGTTGGTGCCCAGACGCAGCCCTCGAAATGGCATGCAAGTTTCGATCGGATCTATAATAAGACAGTAAAGGGAAATGAAACACATATTTTATCTTCGGAGCAGAGGATTCGAGATACCTGGTAGTATTCTTTAATAAAAATGGAAAGCATTCACCTTTGTTGTCGGTGGGGACCATGTGAGCGTCCTCTGTTGACTGCTGGTTTTTGGCTAAACCCTCCATGTCTTTTGGGGTCTTTACGCAAACAATGTGGATGATGATCAGAAGTTAATTCCCAAGTGTGAAAACGGTGAGGAAAAGGAGGACGTGGAGTTACCTTTGTTTTAAAGGTTGTCGTGTAGTTCGGTGGTGGGGCTTTCGCGGCGGAGCAAAGTGCATGGAAATGTGGACGGCGGATCTGGTTGATGAAGACAGTTAGGGATTATAAAGGAAGCGGTGATTTTGGGCCAGTTTCCCATGGGATTCTGTCTGCAATCCTAAAGCATGTTCGGGCTGGGCTCAATACCATTCCATTACTATCAAAACGTAAGAAAACGTGGGCTCGGTTTTAGTAAGCGTTTAAGGCCGAAGAATTCAAAACGCAAACAATGTCTCCTGCTAATTTCGATCAAAGGATCATGATCAAATATTCTATTGTGTCATTCTGCAAGAACAGGAAGAACATGAAGAACATGCCCAGAATTTAAAACGCAAACAATGTCTCCTGCTAATTTCGATCAAAGGATCATGATAAAATATTCTATTGTGTCATTCTGCAAGAACAGGAAGAACATGTCCAGAATTCAAAACGCAAACAATGTCTCCTGCTAGTTTTTCATGATCAAATCAAAAAATTCACCTCTCTAAACTATTGAGGTACAAACATCAGGGATTTCCATATGGACTAAACAGAATAACCAGCGGCTAGCAAATTGTCGAAGCGAGTACATTGGTGAATTTCCAAAATACCAGAGTAGTTAGGGGAAAACATTAAGTTATTTTTACAGAAAACAGAGCAACATGTCCTGAATAGATAACATACATAATTATAAATAAGCCGTCCCGACAAACTAAGTTCCAAGTAGAACAGTTTCTAATCACACAAAAGCATTAGGGTTCCAGATTGAAGCAATTCGGATTGCAGGAGGATTTTCTGAAGTCCCAGGAGCAACATAAGCTTCAGCCATAAAAGGCACATAACATCTGTCTTGAATGTACTGATATCCTTCTTCATAGGTTAGACTGAAAAGTTCCTCGGGTGACACCCAAACCAAGCCCAACACAGCTTCATGATCAAACACAACATCAACATATTCTCCCTCACACTCACATGTTGCTTGTAATTCATATCGTACCCTGAATTAAACAATAAAAGGAACGTTTTGATCTTCCTGAAATGCAATGGACAACATATTATTAGCAAAACATAAAATTGAATCATACCTTGGAAAACCTGAACATGATTTAAAGACTTCTGGACCGTATGTAAATCTTGTCATTTCCAGCATACTACGAAAGATATGACTATATATTTGGGATATGTGTTATCCAATACAATCAAAACAACAAAAAACATACATATACCTGATAGGTCTGTGCATGGAACATTATATCATCCTTTAGCTGCTTTAGGGTTCTTTTGGGAGGAAGAAGACCACGAAGATAACCAATAGAGCAGCGAGAAGTACTATTGATATAAGTCACTGGCATTCGATCACCTATGAACCTAAACAACAAAAAGAATGTACGTATTGTTTTTCTAGCATCCAACAGAGCAGGTCTGTCAATATATAAACATAGAATTCGAATATAATAATACCTATTTATGATCTTCTCATAATGGTGATTGTAAGAACCAATGATCAGACGACTTCCAGGTGAAGATTGAAATACATATGCATCTTCAGTGGCATCTGTAATTGGCAGCCTTGTAATAGCAGTAACTGTGGTAATGAGAGGAAGTCGAGCTTCAGATTCCCCTGCCAACTCCAAATACTTTGTAACTTCAGTTCCAGAGTAGTACACTGTCGCCCTGTCCCCTCTATACAAAATAGCAAAAGATCAGTTAATCCCACATGAAGTATAACAAACAAAAATCAGCACAAGAATATGCAAGAAACCTGATGTCTTCTATGATGAGCTCAAACCTAAGAACACCATTAATTGGAAATCCTGGAATCGTCAGATGAACAACGCAACCTGTAACATCTGCAATTCAATTCATAGTAAGCAAATAATCATGAATACTTTTTGTGCAAACAACTTTCGAGGATGCTACCTCCATAATTCACAACTGCCTCTGTCTCTATTGGAATAGCCAAGAACGAAGTTTTCAGAAAAGCATTGACAGGAAACTTGGGATAACCCGGATTGTCAGGCACACAAAATATGATCTGTTCACGCCATAAGGCAAAGCGAACTTCAGCTGGAACAACACGCCTGTTTTTCCTCGCAGGAATAACATGAAAGCCATCCAGGACATGTAAATCTCCTACTTTCAACTTATGTTGCATTTCTTGAATGTCATTTTCCTCAATACAGGCCTCTAGCATATGTTCTTGTTAAATGTGATTTAGTGCATTACTACAATAAAATCAAACATAAACAATAAATATTACATTACAGAGACGAATGACAGACCTCTTTGTCAAGACACAGCACATGCATTGTTCTTTTATGCCCCTGAGAGTCATCACCATGCTCAATCCATACATTAAGAACTCGAATGATCATAATATCAGTATAAGCACCCACACGTAGACCACGAAACACCATGCATG